GTCAAAATCTGTTTCTCTTGGAATGTGCAGGTTTGAAACCTGCCAATGATAAAATTCATTTCTTTTTAATGCAACCACACCTTGACATATGCTCATCAGAGTTGTGTTTAGCCATGTGGTCGTCCTGACAGAATAGACATCTGTTTCTGTTGGAGTGCAACAGGCTTAAAACCTGTTGAATGTCGCATTTTTTTCATAAGAACATGCCTTGAATATCTGCTCATGGACAGTATCTCAGACATTGATCTTCATTAGCCTTAGTCAAGCCATCACCAGAGTCAAAATCTGTTTCTCTTGGACTTTGCAGGTTAAATTTATACAACACAAAACCTACTGCAACTGCGCCCACTGTCTCAGCTTTATATATTATTGTCCATTTCTATGTCAGACCACATGACAATACAATCAATACTTTACAACATGTTCGGTTGCATTGTAGAGTCTCACATCTCTATATCCTCATAGAGGTCTATTTTCACATCATTCTAAGCACTTCCATAGCTTAGTGTGACTTGTATTTCATGCGGCACACCTGGCGCTTCAGCGCACGCTTACTAGCACAAGCACTTTTGTTGTGCATATGTGTGTGGCGCCTTCAGCTCGATCACTTGTCCTCTTTCTGTCCATTCCATGCATGTTTTGGTTTGTCAGTGCACGGAAGCAAGTTGGAAGTGCAGCAAATAGGTAAAAATATGTAAGTCGCTTCTGAATGGATTCATTGGAAGCACATCTAACTGGTCTTAGCCAAGCAGTTGATACAACAGAATCTAAATCTGTCTGCGTGGGTTCAAAACCTGCTAAAGATGAATTTGCCAAGTGATCATTAGAGTCAAAATCTGTTTCTCTTGGACTGCGCAGGTTTGAAACCTGCCAGTGATAGCATTTTGATTTTATGAAATCACACCTTGACATTTTGTCATGAATGATACATGTATTTTTTTTCCTGTTAGAACACACCTTGACATTGACTCATGTATATTTTCATGTTGTATAAGAGGGTCAGGAAAGTGATGCCAGTGGTGTGATTGTAGTGCTGACCAAAACTGAATGTGCGTCTGAACACAGACAGCTTTCTTCAAAGGTCTTGACTTGGTTGAAGAAGAAGAGCAGATTACACATCAAACTTTCAAGTTTGATTCTGATGATCTAGGGAATGAGAAAGAATACACATCTGTCAAGGCTGATATTCAAGGAAAAGATTCAAAAGAGCCAACTGACAACTATTCGCTCATGTACAAGGTTGAGACCCGTTCGTTCGTCATCATGTTGCTCCCCTCTTGCTTTTTGAAAGTCCTGTATTGCAGTCTATATCTAATTCATCTATTCAGCTGAGGGAAAACATTACAAGTGACAGGGAATGGTAGACTTGCCTTGCAGATTCACTTCTGAATGTTTTCTTTAAAAATGCTGCTAACTGTTCTTAGCCAAGCAGTTAAATACGACAGAATCCAAATCTGTCTGCGTGGGTTCAAAACCTGCTAAAGATGAAATTGTCGAGTGATCATCAGAGTCAAAATCTGTTTCTCTTGGACTGTGCAGGATCAAAATCTGCCAATGATAAATTTCATTTTTTATGAAACCACACCTTTACATATGCTCATGGTCGGTTTGCTTACAAGCTCGTCAGAGTTGTGTTCAGCCAAATGGTTGTCCTGACAGAATCAAAATCTGTTTCTATTGGAGTGAAACAGGTTTGAAACCTGTTGAATGTTGCATTTTTTCCACAAGAACATCTCTTGAATATCTGACAATTTTGTCAACCCCCTTGAGGGACACAAAATCTTTTATAACCAATCTAATAACCCACGACTCCCTGTCTCAATTCAGCTTGCAATTTTCCTCAATGGCATCAGGCACTATGGCAATGATGCAACAATGGAGGACTTGGCATATTTGGCAGGAGTATCTATTGGAACAGTCTACAATTGCATTAAACAAGTTGTGATCGCTATCTTGAACGCATCCACTCATCCACCGCGAAAATCTACAAAATCTAAGAAAAAAACACCAATTGTAAGTTTTAATTTATAATCATCGCGTCAATTGTTGCTTACCAGGTGCTAGTGAACCGCTGTAGAGACTGATATCTCGTGGCCTTGCAGAGGCTATATATGCGACCTGTCTCAGAGTACAGTTTGATGCACAATTTGTGCCAATACCTTTCCAATCATTTCCTATGCAAAGCGAAACTCTCCCGCGCCAAGCGCGCGCTACCTTCCCGCGCATCGGCTGCCCCAAGCGCAGCATTCTCGTGCGCGCATTAGGCGCGCTTTCCCGCGCTCAAAGCACCCTACGTAGCACGTCCATCCATTGTCCAAATTAACCTCACTGGTACGTGTTCATATCATTTTCTCCATATCAGACCATATTCTATCTTAATGATTGCTCAATTCTCATGTCATGGACCCTTATTACATACCTTACCTACTCGCTTCGGCTCCGCTTCAGGGGCGCATTTTTAGACATATATAAGTGCCTGTAGTTCATATTTTACATCATCGAATCATATAGAAGCTCCCTGCACCTCACTATCAGTGTAAAAGCTCATCCGTCACATGCCATAGTCAGTACCTATTGGCAATAAGAACATCCTTAACGTCTATTACGAACCTCTGCTTGTAAACCCACCTTGCGCTTTTCCCGCACATCGGCTGCCCTAAGCGCTTCATTCTCGCGCTTTCCCGCACTCTATGTCGGCCGACGAACGGCACCTCTTTGCACCAACCCCTAGATCTCTGCTGCACTTGCTTCCCCTTTAGGGTCGAATGCACTTGTCACTACAAGCAGACCCAACACATAGTTCAGAATACCACCATCTGGATAGTTGTTTCTACACCGCATGGCTCCAAAATCTCGCGTGCAAGTGCAACAGAAGACGCGCAAGTGGGGAGATGTGACTGTCCGGGCGGAGGCCACAATCAGAGCTGAGGCATTGACAGAAGAAGCGGAGGCATTGGCAGATGAAAGGATGGCGAGAGCAGACAAAATGAAGGCGAGAGAAGACAAAACAAAGGCGAGAGAGGGAGCAGGAGCAGGAGCGGGAGTGGGATTACTGGGCTTCTTGAAGAGGGCAAAGAGCCACTTTTGCTCCAGAGATAGGAGCTCGTGGATGTCCGCTCGAGGAAAGTCATTTGTAAATGGCTAGAAAAGTAAAAAGGTGAGATTGGACCTAGCGAGTTTCAGCGAGCAACTTAGAACAAGATCGGCAATGATGCCATACTCATCCCAAGCCTGTTTGTATGTGAGTTGTTTGATGAGCAACTCGGTATGTGCTTCGCGTCAATGGAGACACGGTTGAGAGCCGTCAAGGTCCTTCCTATGTCCTAGACAGCTATTTTGATAATAAATAAGTCATTAAAAGGCAAAACAAAGTTTGATGATGCACCGTGGACACCAGTTCTGCACGACGCCAGAGAGAAGTATCTGTTCTGGATAGTCCGCAATGTAAGGGCCCAAGCCGTACACTGTGCATCGATAGTGGCCATCTGGAAAGCTTGTGACATCAAAATTTTCCATGAAAGGTTTCACAGACTCGAAAATCTTTGCAAGGGAGCGCTGGAACAGCCGCCGTCGAAAATTTCTGTATTTGATGTCATCATTATGTTCCTTCGTAGCTAGACAAATGAAGGTTATGATACAGTGATGCATTGAGAATAACAAGTACTTACATTTCGGTATCGCAAGAAATCCAATGAGGACAACACCATTGCGATGTGCCTGTTGTACGCTATTGTGAAGGTTCCTGATTGAGAGATAGAGTGGGTGGTATTTGGTCTGACCAGTAGTGACAGAAACAACAGTCTTATCACTGCCAATAATCAATGGTACAAATGTCGAACCATGATTCTCCTCATTTCGAGCAATATCATCCTTGAGATGATTGTTAGTATGCCAAAAATGTAAATATGAAAAAGGCGTACTGCCTGTTTCCATGCCCAGTCACCAGACATAAAGTTCTTCCAATATTGTTTGTCCTCGGTAGTATAATCGTGGTAGGGTGAATACTTGATTCCTCCATCAAAAGCACAGTTTGCCAAAATGCTGCACATCATTTCCAATGGATCTCTATACCACACATCATATTGTCCATCCATCCACAGCGGTACATCTTGTTTGGGTTTGGCTCCGTTGTAGCACAATGTAAAGCTCTTCCAAGGGGTATCGCCGAGTGGTGTTGCATCAATTGTAGCGTACATGTCCCTATGGTTTGCAAATTGGGGGGCATTGTTGTGCTTAATGAGAGTCACGGCCCACAAGTCGAGAAGTGTATCAATCTGCTTTGCAGACATTTGATTGCGCATGAATAAGAATTCTGCCGTCTCAAATTCAGCACAATTGTCATAAGGCATCCAATCGGTTGGGAGGGCATCCATATGAGGTGGTGGGGGTGCATCCTGGTCAATAAATGCCCCATTAGCATCACGCTTGAGTCCTAAGACAAAAATTCAGTAACAGTAAGATGAACTCCTTAAAAAACGCCCACCTGTGAGGTGCGGATGGAAAGTACGGAATAAGCGCCCCATATCCACCCAAGTACCTTCCTCTGGTACAAAATCTTGGTCGCACGCCGGGTCTTGATAGAAATTCTCATTGATAACACCTGCTGGAGTGGGAGAACGACTCTGTGGAGGTATGAATCCAGGACCTGCGAGCGGAGCTGTGCGATTGAGGTTTTGTATTTGTGGGGTGCCGTGCCTTGCATGTGTGTGTTGAGTGAGGCCAGACTTGTTTTTGAAGACCTGATTGCAGTTCGGAAACCGACAAACAAACCTGGTGACAGCTGGGGCCATGTTGGACAGTAGCAAGATGGATACCAGGGAGCAGAATACGTAGAATGGAGACTAGACTAATACTAAGTGTGTGAATCAGAAATTATGACATGCTCAATTGAAAAAAAATATAACTTCACCCGTTCGTTACCGGTGACCTTTTGCTAGGGTCCATATTCTTTCAACACCTCGCCACCAGCATTCCTCCAACAGCTCGTCCTAGATCTCAACATGCCTCGACCTGCAACGTGCCCAGGGAATGTGAACAAACATCCTGGACAGATAGTTCTTGAAGCGAGTTGCGTAGCATGCCCAAAGGATGTAATTGCAGCTGAAAAGAAAAAGGCATCAGCAGAGAAATTAGCCAAGGCAACCGCCTTGGAAAATGCTCAAAAGAAGGTTGCTGCAACGGAAGATGCTATGGCTGTCGAGCAGATGGCTCAACGTGCTGGCCCAGGACACTTTGTCAGACCAAAGCCTAAGCCGCGCCCAGTGACCAAGACAGCGCCAACTGCAAACCCTGAAAAGACGCGTAAGCCTTATGCAATAGAATGCTGTTGCAAGACTCACCAGTCCTTTGACATTTATACAGCTGTTGAGGCGAAAACGGTGTCCCAAAGCACTGATGCCTCGAAGAAGAAATATCCAGGCTTGAAACTCACCTTCAAGGATGGTATCAACGCCAGTCGAAAGGTGTCCATGACGAGCTTGTAAGCAAACCGACCATGAGCATATGTAAAGGTGTGGTTTCATAAAAAATGAAATTTATCATTGGCAGATTTTGATCCTGCACAGTCCAAGAGAAACAGATTTTGACTCTGATGATCACTCGACAATTTCATCTTTAGCAGGTTTTGAACCCACGCAGACAGATTTGGATTCTGTCGTATTTAACTGCTTGGCTAAGAACAGTTAGCAGCATTTTTAAAGAAAACATTCAGAAGTGAATCTGCAAGGCAAGTCTACTATTCCCTGTCACTTGTAATGTTTTCCCTCAGCTGAATAGATGAATTAGATATAAATGCTCTTTTCCATATCATTGCCACAATAGATTCAAAATATGTTTCAATCAAAGCCTACAGGTTGGCAATCAGTCCTAGTTCGGGAGTTATCAAAGTCAAAATCTGATTTTCCTGGACTGAGCAGGTCAAAAACATGTATCACTCAGCATATTTTCAAGCATGCACAGTCCAAGAGAAACAGACTTTAATTCTGTTGTAACAACCACTTGGCCAAGACTGTTTATAATGAGCGAATGTTTGAGGTATATTTCAATGAACAACAAAAAATGCAATTATATGAGTTTCGAACCTGCTTAGTCCAGGATAATCAGATTTTGAATCTATTATGGCAATAACATGGCTGAGAACATTTAAGATGAGTTTTTGACAAAACTGTTTACAAGGGACTGTCAAGGTGTGATTTCATAGGATAAAAATATTATCATCAGCAGGTTTCAAACCTGCACAGTTCAAAGAGAAACAGATTTTGACTCTGGCGATCACTTGGAAATTCAATCTTTGGTAGGTTTTGAACCCACACAGACAGATTTAGATTCTGTCATATCGACTGCTTGGCTAAGACCAGTGAGATGCACTTCCAATGAACACAATCAGAAGTGAACCCTCAAGACACATTTATCTGCATTTGACCACCACACAAAATGATGAGATGGAATGACTCATGAGCTTGCATTCAAGGCAAGTTTTAATGGCAAAAGAAAAACCATGTTATTATACAGGTTTTAAGCCTGCTCGGTTTAAGAGAAATAGATATAGAAATATTGGCTGATTTTGATGCAGCAACTATGAGTTCAAAAGAAGCAGCTAATACTCAGAGGGATTTAGGATTGAAAAATACAGACCTTCAGAGTGTGTAGAGTTCAAAAAGCGCGCAGACCAGAGTCATGGCAATGACATGGCTAAGATCATTTAAGATGAGTTTCTCAGAAAACCAGGTGTGTTTTTACAGAAAATAAAATTTATCATTGACAGGTTTCAAACCTGCACAGTCCAAGAGACACAGATTTTGACTCTGGTGATCACTTAACAATTTCATCTTTAGCAGGTTTTGAACCCACGCAGACAGATTCAGATTCTGTCATATTAACTGCTTAGCCAAGACTAGTTGTATGCACTTGCAATGAACCCATTCAAAAGTGAATCCTCAAGGCACAATATCAGCCTTGATGAATTTGTATTTTTTCTCATTCTCCAGGTCATTAGGATCAAAATTGAAAGTTTGATGTGTAATCTGCTCTTCTTCTTCTTCAACCAAGTCAAGACCTATAGAAAGAATTAGAGTGTTCTTATACTTATCCTTCCAAGTTTGCATCAAGACCTTGGTCATATATTGAACTCTGTGTCCACAGGTCCTTGATATTGTGCTTGGGCATGGGACATTTCCTCTTGGAGGAATTGATGAAGCTCATCTAGATCTATAGCATGATTCCAGGCACAGGTGGATGAGAGATCATGCTCCAGATGTATTGAAATGTTCGGGTGATAACCCTTATTGGCAAAGAATGATAAAACTCTGGTGGTAGCACTCGGAGTGTTGTTGTATGCAAACTCAGCCAAGGGTAACAGTTCCAACCAATTATCCTGCTGATAGTTGCAGTAGATCCAGAGGTATTGTTCTAGGGTTTGGTTAGCTTGCTCGGTTTGTCCGTCACCTTCTGGATGATATCCGGAGGTGAAATGGAGGACCATATCTAATGCTTTTCTGAGCAACCGGAAGAAGTGGGAAACAAATTCTGTTCCGTGATCAGAAGTAACATGAGATGGAACTCTGTGCTTGGAAAACATATGGAGGAGGAATAACCAGGTGAGGTCTGGAGAGGTGATGGTGTTGTAGGTCGGAATGAATATGGATTGCTTGGATAGTCAATCTATGACTACCAGGATGGCAGTGAAGCCGGAGGAGTTGGGGAATTGTTTGAGGAAGTCCATGGATATAGAATTCCATGGTTTTTTGGGGATGGGGAGTTGTTTCAACAATCCATATGATTTGTGTCTCGGAACTTTGGCTCGGGTGCAGGTCATACAGGACTTAACATAGTCCTTGACATATGTGCAGATTCCAGGCCAGGTATATTCCTGACAGATAACTTCCAGGGTCTGGTTCTGACTGAAGTGTCAGGATAGTGGGTGGTCATGCATATTCTGGAGCACTCGGAGATGGAGGTCATTGGATTCTGGAATGTAGATACAGTTGTCGCAATGGAGGAAACCACTGTTGTCCACTGTCCATCTCGGGTCTGACAGATCCGGTATAGAAACAACAATACAGTGAGGTGCGAACAATGCTCCAGACTGTATCTATAATTGTTGTAAGGTTGTGTGTTGCCTAGTCTGCTATACTTGAGATGACAAGTGCATTTGACCCTAAAGGGGAAGTGAGTGCAGTGAGGATCTAGAAGTAGGCATTGAAGGCACTACTAGGTGGCCAATGCGAAGCACAAGAAAGCGCAGGTGCGTGCATGTGCTGCATGAAGCATGGGAAAGTGTGCACATGTATGCGGAAATGAGAGAGTGTAAGAGTGAGTTTGCTTAAGTGATGATTAGATGCAAGACAAGAGAAGTGAGATGCGAGGTGTAAACAAAATAGATTTCTACTATGTTCTGCTAGGTAGATAGTGGATGGAAAGTTAAGTCAACCAAAAGTCTCTAATAGTATGTACTGCTGGCGCTTATATATGGCGTCTAAGCGCTGTCATGCAGAGCCAAAGCGCTACTGAGCCAGGTATGTAAGTAAGGGTCCAAGATAAAAAATAAAGGTGGAATGATATGCAAATAAGGGAAATGGAAATATATGTACTAGAGAGCTTGGTGGACAGTGGATGGATGCATCTGGATGGCTGGCACTATAGGGCACTCAAGTGTGGAAAAGTGCACATGCATATACATTGTGAAGCGCGGGAAGTGTGCGTGCATGGCGCTCATTGCATGGGAAAGCTGTGCCTCATATAGGAATAGCTGCAGATAGCACACAAAGTGATGCTGCAAGTTTGTGCAATGTACTCCCTAGTGAAAACTGCAATATCACGCAATGAGAGGCACAAGTCTCTATACCGGAAGATGACTGGAAGTGATAGGGTCATTAGGGAGGGCAGACAGAATGTCCTTATGAAGCTGCTCGACATCCATCAGTACAGCCACCTGGAGCACCAGAATTGCTAAGTGTGATGCCCGGAGGGATGAAGCGAGCTGTTCTGTGGTAAATATTGGCCGGAGGTTGTGTGGATTAACTTGAGCGTAGTCCTTATCCCCCTCTTTGGGGTAGACATCCCAACATCTAGTTAGGCAGTCGGGCTTTGCTCTGAGTTTTCCAGGTCAGAACCGGATAATGAGGTTAAACTGATGAAGGTACTCTGACCAGCGGGCCTGATGGTAGGTGAGGAGTTTTGTGGTAGTGAAGTACTCAAGGTTCTTGTGGTCTGTGACAATGTCTATTGGCTCAGCAGAGCCTTCAAGGTAGTGTCGCCAGGACCGGAAAGCTTCATAGATAGCTAGAAGTTCCTTATCATGGGTGTCATAGTTGAGCTCCAGAGCTGAAAGGGTCCAGGAGTAAAAAGCAACTGGGCAGAGCTCCTGGTCTGGACATACTATAGAAAGTATTCCAGCAATAGCATAATCAAAAGCATCTGTCTCAATAATGATAGGAACATCTGGCATCCAGTGTGTAAGCACCGGAGTGGTAGTGAAGGCTTTCTTGAGATTATCAAAAGATTTCCAGCAATCCTCGGAGAAATTCCAGGGAGCATCCTTGTGAGTGAGCTGCATAAGCAGAACTACAATATCTGAGTAGTTAAAGATGAAGCAACAATAGAAATTAGCGAATCCGAGGAACGACTGAATATCCTTAACCTTCCAGGGTTCCAGCCAGTCACAGATAGTCTGTACTTTGTCCAAAGACATGGTAAGGCTGGCCAGAGATAGGAGGTAACCAAGGTATTTGACCTAGTCGGAATGGAATTCGCACTTTTCCAGTTTAGCATATAGCCAATGCTTCTGGAGGTGTCGGAGAACTTCAAGGACATGTTATTTATGGGATGCAAGGTCTGTGGAATAAATGAGGATGTCGTCGAGGTACACAATAATGCAGATGTCAAGCATATCGGTGAAGATGATATTGACAAAGTGCTGGAAAGCCACCAGAGCATTGGTGAGACCCTCAGGCATAACCAACCATTCATACGAGCCATAGTGCATCTGGAAAGCAATTTTCCACTTGTCTCCTTCCGCCATCTGGACTAGATGGTAAGCAGACTGGAGGTTGATTTTAGTGTAAACTTTAGTGCAGCTTGGAGAATCGAGAAGGTCAGAAATGAGGGGAAGTGGATAGCGGTCTTTCTTTGTGATTTTATTGAGTCCTCGGAAATCTACACAGAGATGTAGGGAGCTGTCCTTCTTCTTGTCGAACAGGACAGGGGCTCCGTGCAGAGAGGATGAGGAATGGAGAAGTCCAGTCGCAATATTCTCATCAAGGAATTTGTGAAGAGCTACAAGCTCAACCAGAGAAAGGGAATGGATGGTACCAAGGGGCGGAGCCACTCCTTCCAAATCGGTCTTTAGATCATAGGGGCAATGGGGAGGGAGCTGTCCAGCTTTGCCTTTATCAAAGACATCCGTATACTTGCGATATTCTGAAGGGATTCCAGATAGGTTTGGAGGAGAGCATAGTGGAACGGAGATTGACACCAGAAACACAAACAAAGATACTGAACTGGACCGATCCCTCTAACTTACAGGCCTGGCTAAAGGCAACTGCATTGATTAGGGAAATATTGGGAACAGCATTATCAGCGGAGGGACTCAGCAGGGTTATGGAAGGGATTTCTGCCGGAGCCGGCAGAAATGGGGTCGGAGGGGGTGAAGGCACTCCATGAAGAATCAGATGGAAATTGATGCTGCCCTTTACCCAGTCAATCAACAGATTGTGTTAGGTGAGCCAGCTATATCCTAGAACAATGGAACAGGATGAGTCAAATGGAGCAACATAAAATGTTTTGGAGGTAACCATGCCGGTCAGAAACCAGTGTAGAGACTCATGCCTCTCATGATGTGATATAGCAGTTTTCACTAGGGAGTACATGGCACAAACTTGTAGCATCACTCTGTGTGCTATCCACAGCTATTCCTATACAAGGTGCAGCTCTCCCGCACAATGTGCGCCATACGTGCACACTTCCCATGCTTGAGTGCCCCTATATCACCAGCCATCCAGAAGCATCCATCCACTGTCCACCAAGCTCTCTAGTGCATATATTTCCATTTGCCCTTATTTGCATATCGTTCCACTTTTATTTTTATCATGGACCCTTACTTACATATATCTTTACATACCTTACTTGGTAGCACTTCAGCTCCACATGACAGCGCTTAGGCGCACCTGCGCTTTCTTACACTTCACATTGGCCAACCAGTAGTGCTTTCAGCGCATACCTCTAGATCCTTGCTGCACTCGCTTCTCCTTTAGGGTCGAATGCACTTGTCATCTCAAGTATAGCAGACTAGGCAATGCGCGACCTTACAACATTTATAGATACAGTCTGGAGCCTCATTCGCGCCTTGCTGTATTGTAGTTTCTACACCGGATCGGTAAATATACTGCCTCGGTAAAAGTGGCATTAGAAGTACCATCAAACAGATGGAGCGGAAGCAGAGGAATTGCATACGTCGGAATGTTATTTTCTCGGATTAGTTTGCTTTCTATAAAACAATGGGAGGAACCACAATCTACAAGAGCCAGCGACAGAGAGATATCGGGAAATGTAGAAATAGAGACATATGGTAATAAAGAGTTTGGATCAGAAAAGGATATAGCATTGAGGCATAGCTCCATTGCATGGGTTGAGTCAATGCAACCCTCATCCCGCGCAGAGTCAAGAGGGTCACAGACTAATTTTTTGTCTCTTCCAAGACCTCTGGTTTGGCTTCTGGAGTCACCATGCTAGCACAACCTTTGGCTACATGGGAAGTGGATTTTAGGCATTCCCGGGCAGTATGACCATGTCCGCCGCAGAAAAGGCAGAGCTTCTTTTTCATGCACCTCTGGCATTCCTTGGAGGTGAGTTTACCGTCTTTTCTGAGCTTGGATGTTAAGTCCGGAAGTCAATTGTAGAACTAATGGCGCAAAGCTCTGTCACCCCAACCTTGGACTTGGGAAGCTAGCCATTGGAACTCTACAACATACTTGTTGATTGGTCTGATATGGGACTTTTCCCTAGGGAGTACATGGCATGAGCTTGTAGTATCACTCTGTGTGCTATCCACAGCTATCCCTATATGGGGTGCAGCTTTCCTGCGCAATGTGCACTCTTCCCATGCTTTGCAATGTATATGCATGCACTGTAAGGATTCATTTCTGGCTGGGCTGGTAGAGACTGTTTTTACCTTACCCTATGTTGGCACTTTTGTAGCTTACATAAGCAAGTTATCTTTTCACCAGTTACTAGTATGAGTCAGAGTACTCAGCAAGTTTTCATGATATTTCCTCTCCTCTGAGCCTTGAGCCTGGTCCAGAAACCCTTTAGGGTCAAATAGCAGCTAGGTTCTGCAAGACCCAACATTGTTCAGACTCCCCATCTGAATTGTTGTACCTACAGTGCGCTTTCCTGTGCTTAAGTGCCCTATAGTGCCAGCCATCTAGATGCATCCATCCACTGTCCACCAAGCTCTCTAGTGTGTATATTTCCAATTCCCTTATTTGCATATCGTTCCACCTATATTTTTATCATGGACCCTTACTTACATATATCTTTACATACCTTACTCGGTAGTGCTTCGGCTCCGCATGACAGCACTTAGGTACCATATATAAGCGCCAGCAGTACATACTATTACTTACCTTTTGGTTGACCCAACTTTACTTGCCACTTACTACCTAGAAAGTCACAGTAGAAATCTATTCCTTTACATCTCGCACTCTCACATCTCTTATCTTGCATCATATCATCACTTAAGCTTAGTCTCTCTCATTTCCACATACCTGCGCGCACTTTCCCACGCTTCACATAATACACGCGCACTTTCCCGTGCCTTGCGTGCACCTGCGCTTTCTCATGCTTCGCTTCAGCGCATACTTCTAGATCCTTGCTGCACTTGCTTCCCCTTTAGGGTCAAACACACTTGTTGTCTCAAGTATAGCAGACTAGGCAACACACAACCTTACAACATTTATAGATACAGTCAGGAGCCTCATTCACACCTCACAGTATTGTTGTTTCTACACTGGTAATAAGTATAACCGAGATACCAGGAAGAGGAAATACTGAATAGGCTGTGTTTAATGTTATATGAACAGGAAATAAATTAAGAAGCTTATCGTAAATCGGATCAGAAGCAGATCTATGCATCAGACCGGATCAGATCTAAGGGTCCAAAGTCTGGAAGAGAAGTGTGAATATATGAGATATGACAACAAGCAATGACGACACAGTTGGAATATCAAGATCTCAGTATTGATCTCCTGGTATCCAGTTTAATGTCAGTATCCATGAGACTCCTGAGCCCACTCCCAGGGATTGTCGTGTCACCTGTCACAGGCTGTATGCAACAATGGGTTGGAATTACATATCATCGGCATTTCCTAGTATTCTGACGTCAAGATATTGTTAAGGATAGAGCAAATCAAACCTAAGATCTGCTGGCAATGCAAATGACATCTGTCTGAAGGAGCATTTTGGATGCACAAAAGATTATCCACTGGCAGGATATAAAAGCAAGCTGTCTTCCTATCATCCCCTTCAGCTTTGTTTTGGAAGTCTCATATCACATCTCACAGATAATGTGTCTCCCCTTCATCCTCATCATTGTTACTGCTTTTAAGTTGTCAGTGTCCACACCAGTGGTTAGTGATGAAAGTAAATGTCCCACCTTCTGCAACCACCATCAAGTTTGCTGCCCTGGCACTACCACCTGTTCGTGGCAGGGTTATGTGTAACCATGGTGGACTACAGGTGTGATGGTTATGCATAGATGTTGGTTATCTCACGACATTATGCATAATGGCCTCCAGCCCAACCTCCACCCTGTCACAGTCCAAAGTTAAATCTGTGATCAGGCCCAGCCTCAGCACTGTCACCATGCAGTCCAAAGCCAGATCTGTGATCTCGATGACATGTGTATGCTTCTTTTCTTCCATTGATGGTCCCTTCATTCAGATGCCTAAATCTAGTCTGACATATCCATAGATAGATATTTAAAAAAAAAACACATTTATATACAAATTATCTAGCGGTGGTGTGAGCAGCTATACTGGCGATGACATAGGTAAGGCACTGATTTCTGTTGCTGCTGCAGTGCTGGGGGTGATGGGGGTGACCACAAACCCACTCCACATTTCCATGAACGCATCCCAAGTGTTCCTCCGAAGAACTGCTTGCCATCTCGCGTACCCTTTGATGCCTTCTGCTTCAGCAGCAGGCAATTCAACTCTCTGGTCTGCCTGTTCATCCCACCATGTAGCATGCCAAGACAAAAATTCCCTGACATACCGCATTTCCTCTAGCAGAAGTTGGACCTCCTCCATCCAGCAATTTGCGTGTGCCCTTGCTTTACACCATTCAATTTGTAATGCTGCAGGATAATTTCAAAATCATATGAATCCTGACAAAGTGAAAACTGCTCACCATCTGTGAGAACCTCTCCCGCAGCAGAAACACCATGCATCTTCCAGATCCATGAGAGCATCCGATTGCCCTCTGATTGTCCTGCCTCACCTTCTGACATGCTATGGACATGTGCTTGCTCAAAGTATCGGAAAAACCTCCTGCCAGTCATGTTCTCCAAGCGTCTCATGCAGATTTTTGAGGGTGTTCCTCACCCTGCGATATCTGTCTGCAGCCTCTATGACATTGCATTCAACCTTTCCAATTACGGCGGAAGCACACATGTTGGCTCATTGGCCACAAATATTTGTGTCCTTGAATTTATACAGGTGAGTACATAAGAGGAGATGGTGGCCGAGGTCGTCAAGTGCATTGAAGGATTGTCCTCGATGCAGTTCCCATTCAAAACGGCAGAGCCGTTCATTGCATACTGCATCCAGGGTGTGCTCCTTCAACTTGGAGGGAAGGAGTAGATTGATCTCATGTGCCTTTTCCTCAAAGGCTCTTGAATTAGAATTGCAGGTAGTTCGAATGCGTGATACCAAGGGCATATATATAAGAGCTGGACTTGACACCATTGGTCAACCTTGCGCTGCAGAGTGTTCATCCGATCCTGTATCTTTGAACGCTGAAGGTCGATGTAGCAGGGCGCTCTGGCGCAGCAGGTCAGGAGTGGCAGGAGTCCTAGCACAGTAGCAGGAGTCCTGGCTTGTAGTCGGTAGTCCTCGTGCATGTCGTAGTCTGTCCTCCATAGATAGAGCCATAGCCTCCCACTATAGAGGTTTGGCCTTGGTTCCCCTTGCAGTCCTCCCTGTTACATCGATTGAATGAGCACTGAGGGCTGAAATGTCCCATCTGAGCCTGTGTCTAAATTCCAAAGTTAATCCTACATGTTTGACAAATCAAGAACAATTTGAACTTACTGCTCTTCCTCTATTCCGATGCCCATTGAAATAAGAACAGTAGGCGATATCTCACTATGAAGAGAATGATCGACGCCACACTCGAGGTCTTCAGCCTCATTCTGGGAGAGACTCAGCCTTACAGATGCCTGTGTCATAGCTACATGATAATCGTCAGTCAAATAGTGCCTGGTATTGAAACATTGACTCACTTGTTGTAGTTGCACCAAAGGGATTTGTCATGGACATGTCCGCTTCCCACTCTTCGATAGCAATTTTCCATCGTGACACCTCCTCTGGTCTTTCTTCAATGCGAGTGTTGTCAAACTCGAGAAAATTGTGGTGGTGCTGGTCACATTCGGGTATAGTGACCTTGAGTTTTCGCAAAAGACTGACACCTAAATCACCACCATTGTCAAATGGCATTCACAACTGGTGGTAACCTAAAGACAACTCACCCAGATTGGTAAGTTTCTTCCAATTGAAGTCGCCAAAGTGATCATCAAGAGTATCACACCGAGAGCCCAGTCCCATTTCATGTGTAGCCACAGGGTTGATGTTAGCCCAGCCTCGCTCAGGAGCCTCAGCTTCGGTATGTCCCATACCTCTGATGAGATTGTGTGAATAAGTAATCTGACATGCCAAGATATGTGCTGGAAGATGGAACTTGGGGACAAGAAATGTGATAGATTTGTCGGAGCATTTGAAGTGAATATGATTAGGGTACTTGAGCATTCATTCTTGGAGATTCTTACTCCACTGGCAGGCGATGTCGTATGATACATTGAAACGAGGAGATCCTTTGCATACTGCATGGTGGAGCAAAATAGATAATCCATATTCATGTATCTGTGAATGCCATGTAAGACAAAATTGGAGCAAAGGGCCATAAATACGCACTTTTCCCCCTTCTGAAGGTCTCCAACGGCGCATGGTCGTTTAAAGTTATGACGCTGTAGGGATTCATTTCTGGCTGGGCTGGTAGAGACTGTTTTTACCTTACCTTATGTTGGCACTTTTGTAGCTTACATAATCAAGTTATCTTTTCACCAGTTACCAGTATGAGTCTGAGAGATCAGCAAGTTTTCACAATATTTCCTCTCCTCTGAGCCTTGAGCCTGGTCCAGAAACCCTTTAGGGTCAAATAGCAGCTAGGTTCTGCAAGACCCAACATTGTTCAGACTCCCCATCTGAATTGTTGTACCTTCAACACGCACAATCAACTGTTCTGGCACCCGTTGCTGCAAGACCACGGGAGTTCTTCATCTCTGCTAGGTTCACAGCATTGTGATTTATACATGTACTTTTCTACTTCAAAAATTAGCATCTACATTGACTCTGATTCCAAAGAAACTGGTAAACACCTCCTGCGGCTGCTTGCTGACTTCATTAAGGAAGGTCTTGTATCTCTTCTCTTCCATGAAGTATGACCATCCATTGCTCAGACCTGGATCAACTGTGTAAGAGGAAATGTTCTTCCGCGCTAAGCAAAAGTTCGCATCGATTGCCACAAAAATTCCATAAAGCCACCTATTGGCACAGAACTAAGTCAAACAGCATACAATGAGGTTAATTCAACGAACCTTTTTTCAGGAGTTGTATCCTCCCAGCCCTGCGGTAAATTTTTGCTGGGCTGGGGACAAGCAGGGCAGAGGACAGCACAAGAACCAGGTTGAGTGGCATCAATACCTCCAATATCATGCCCACAACCAAATCGTTTGAGCAGTGTCAAGTTCCACCATTCTTTGATCATTTGAAGCAGTGCTTCATAGCGATCCTGAATGTGTGTGAGTTTTTCAGCCTCCACTGAAATAAATGCTCACTTACCTTGGGATGATTGACGCCAGAGTTATCAGATAGCCGTGACAGTGTTTGCCAGCATTCAAAGGCCAATGCCTTTGATTCAAATGTGAGAATATGGAAGTGGTAAAGGAGCCGAAAAGTTCCAGCAGTTTTAGGATTAAGGGATGTTGCTGGAAACCACTGGACACAGAGGAGCTGAGTTGTTAGTGATTGAGCTGTCTCGCATCCACAGAAGTCCACTGCAACTGAATGTACGCCATTGGTATCGAGAACAACAAAGTCATTATGAAATGCTGTTGACACTGGGTTGTAACAGTGTTCTCCCACATGATGGCTAAGCTGAATTCTGAGACTGAGGGATTTGAGGCTAGTGTTCTCGAAGTGCTCATCAATCCAGTGCTAGAGTGAGTTTATTTAAGTGACAAATTCACAAATTTGAACAAAGAAACCAACCTGAAGTCTATGTAATGGACTTTCCTGATGTCTCACCAATGTGCATCCTTTGCAATACAAAGCTGTGCCAAAACAATCCCAACATCGGTAGTCTGGATATTCCTGGCATCCATCGCGGCCCTTGCAGATTTGATCGAAAATGTAATTGCCATGTCCATCCAACCGGAGAAGTTCGAGAAGAAAGTTTTCGCGTTCTGGAACCCAAAGTAAAAGAGGATTATCCTGACAAGTGGTGTCAGTACAATAACCATTGAACAGTAGTATATGGGGCAGCTTACACCAGCTGTGCGTTTTCACTTTGTGGGTTCACAAGTTGTATCAGCGATGTGGTCATCATAGATAGTATATGCAGCATTGAAGTCATCATCAACATTGAATTTGGGTTCTACAGGTTGGGTTTGTGAAGAAACTTCAAGTTGGAGGCCAGTAGTGATGCTATGACTTGTTTGCAAGCACATATAATCAATTTGCATTGTGAGACGACCAGGTCCTGTGATTGTGTGGGACTGAACTTTGTGGTGAAGAAGTTGAGTACCGTCTATCTGCTTATCTAGTCATAATTGTCAAGCTCATTGGCGAGCAGTGTCCTGTACAGCGTGATGCGCTTGGTTAAGGTCATACCATGCTTTTGTGAGTTTGTTATGTTCACGTTTACGCTTGCCGTTGTCCACCATAGTGTTGATTCTGTTGAATGACTAGGACAATTAGTATTATAATAGCAGTGCTTGAGCATGGGTTTTGGTCCGACTGGATACTGGTTCTATTGGCAGTAGTTTTTCTTCCTTCTTTTCAACCAACTCAATAACTATAGTATACCGCAGTACTACCAACCACAGTCAAGGCATTATGGCCCATCCCATCATTCATAAAACTCCCAAGGCAAAATTAGCCGCTGCTCATGAAAAGTGCCAATGTCATTATGCCAAGTATGTCATATCTTATATGAATTGTTTCCAATCGTTCCTGACTCACAGGCTTGTCCCAAAAGAAACAGAGAACTTATTCTCAAAAGACGGAGGGATCTTCACAGTCCCAAGCGTGACATGAAGGAATCACAAATGATCTTGAAAGCTATTTCTAAAGGCCTGCATGGCTCTACCAGTGATGAGGACTCTGAGTCCGAGTCTGAACCTGATGAAGAGAATTCTTCTGATGATGTTGACCTGTATGTCCCTTTTTATATAAATAGGAACATAGGATGCTTATATTCAACAGATCCGATCTCACACAATATTTGTTCGCTCTCAAGATCATCAAGGATGAAATGTTGGCATTGACAGATGATCCTTGTGCCTTCGTTCAAGGTGTCTTCCAAGAGTACATTAAGACCTTGAATAGCAGCGCTAAAGGTGATGTCACCATCCTTGAAACACCAATGGCCACAGTTCAGGGCTTACTGAATCACATCATTCCCATTCAAGACCAGATTCTTAATTTCTGTGGAATTTCACCTGAGTGGCGAGCGGCTGACTCTGTGTCTCATTTTCTCAGGACTATTCTTGCATATCTAGAGGATATCCTATGTATTTTGACATTTGATGGACTGACAGAGCTTGCATTGGCCCACTCAATGGGAGAGTTTATGTACCAGAAAGGCATTAAAATTTGATGGTGATCTCAACCACCTGCTTGTACATATATATATTTTTGTTTTGGACTTCTTCCAGTTAGAAATTCAAGTGTCCAGTGTATTGTGTACATATAGCTGCGGTAATGATACATGGTTCAGTTTTTCAATGCTACTATGGTAATCAGAACTTGGTGGGATAATGAGTTCAGGCTCCGATAATTAGTAACCGTTGCAGAACCTTATGTCCATTATTCCTGTCAAAGCCCACATTACGGAAAAAACACCAATCAGGTCAGGCTGCTATCAGTAAGTAGTATGTTCCCATCTTATGACATGTCACTGATAAAGGAATGCCAGCGGCTACCATCAGATGCCTGGATCTCAATGGACATCTGCCGAGCAAAAGTTATACTTGCAAGGTTTATATAGTGATTTCCTGAAAGTGCAGGCCCAAGGGACTGTGTCGGCCTTCTGGCTGGGGGTTTATCTCACTTTGTTTGAAAGATAGCCCTCAATCAATTATGTATTTCCAGACACGTCAATGCATGGGTTTCTAACAGAGGAACAAAATACACTATTGGGGACAGCTATAGATAAAAGATGTCAGGTGCGAGTAGCAAATTCATATGCATAATTGTATCATATATTCAAGTTCAAGAACAGCAAATCAGGACCTGGTTCAATTATAGATCGCAATGTAGTGGACGCACTGTAGAGAATCATGCCTCTCATGGCATGATATGGCACTTTTCACTAAGGAGTACTTAGCACAAACTTGCAGCACCATCCGGTGTGCTATCCACAGCTAATCCTATATGACGCGCAGCTTTCCCGCGCAACACGCGCCATGCGCGCACCATTCCCGCGCTTGCGCGCCCTATGGCGCCAGCCATCCAGATGCATCTATCCACTGTCCACCAAGCTCCCTAGTGCGTATATTTCTATTTCCTTTATTAGCATAGTGTTCCATCTTTATTTTTATCATGTTTTCTCACTCATATATATATTTACATACCTACTCGGTAGCGCTTCGGCTCCGCATGACCGCGCTTAGGCGCGCTATATAAGCGCCAGCAGTACATACTATTACTCACCATTCACTACTTACTTTTTCCCTTTAACTTACTAGTTATCACCCACTATTTACTTAGCAGTACATAGTAGAAGTCTATTTGTCTACACTTTGCATCTCTCTTTTCTATTATTGCATCATATTATTGCATAAGTTTAGTCTCTCTTATTTCCGCTTACGCGCGCGCGCTTTCCCGCGCTTCGCGCTAATACGCGCGCGCGTTCCCGCGCCTTCGTACCTTGCGCGCACCTGCGCTTTCTCGCGCTTCGCGGTCCTGCGCATACCCCTAGATCTTTGCTGTACTCACTTCCCCTTTAGGGTCGAACGCACTTGCCATCTCAAGTATCGCAGACTAGGCAACGCGCGACCTTACAACTATTTACAGATACAGTCAGGAGCCTCATTTGTTCCTCTCAGTATTGTTGTTTCTACAGCGCTGTAGAGACTTGTGCATCTCATGGTCTGATATGACAGTTCTCACTAGGGAGTACATAGCACGAACTTGTAGTGTCACTCTGTGCGCTACCTGCAGCTATCCCTATATGAGGCGCAGCTTTCCCGCGCACCCTTCCCACGCTTCACGATGTATATGCATGTGCGCGTTCCTGCACTTGAGTGCCCTATAGCGCCAGCCATCCAGATGCATCCATCCACTGTCCTCCAAGTTCTCTAGTGCATATATTTCCATTTCTCTCATTTGTATATTGTTCCACCTTATTTTTATCATGGACCCTTACTTATATATATATCTTTACATACCTTACTTGGTAGCACTTCGGCTCTGCATTACAGCGCTTAGGCGCACTATATAAGCGCCAGCAGTAGATACTACTTGACACTTTTTTTCACTGGACTTTCCACTTTACTTTACTTTCCACCCACTATCTACCTAGAAGAACATAGTAGAAATCTATTTGTCTACACTTTGCACCTCTCTTCTCTTATCTTGCATCATATTATCACTTAAGTCTAACCTCTCTATTGTTTCCGCATACACGTGCGTGTTCCCATGCCTTGCACACACCTGCGCTTTCTCGTGCCTCGCTTCAGCACTGTAGAAACAACAATACAGAGAGGAACAAAAGATGCTCCTAACTGTATCTAAAAATGTTGTAAGGTCGCGCATTGCCTAGTCTGCGTTACCTGAGGAGACAAGTGCGTTCAACCCTAGGGGAAGCAAGTGCAGCAAGGATCTAGAAGTGTGCGCTGAAGCGAAGCGTGGGAACACGCGCGCGTATTAGCGCGAAGCGCGGGAAAGCGCGCGCGCGTATGCGGAAATGATAGAGACTAAGCTTAAGTGATGATATAATGCAAGATAAGAGATGTGAGTGCGAGATGTAAAGGAATAGAGATCTACTATGTTCTGCTAAGTAGTAAGTAAGTAGTAATAGGTAAATGGGAGGTAAAGTAAGGTAAGGTGAAAAGTAAGTGAGTAATAGTATGTACTGCTGGCGCTTATATAGCGCGCCTAAGCGCGGTCATGCGGAGCCGAAGCGTTACCGAGTAGGTATGTAAGGATATATATGGGTGAGAGTCCATGATAAAAATAAAGGTGGAATACTATGCTAATAAAGGAAATGGAAATATATGCACTAGGGAGCTTGGTGGACAGTGGATGGATACATCTGGATGGCTGGCGCTATAGGGCGCGCAAGCGCGGGAATGGTGTGCGCATGGTGCGCGTTGCGCGGGGAAGCTGCGCCTCATATAGGAATTGCTGTGGACAGTACACAGAGTGGTGCTGCGAGTTGGTGCTGTATACTCCCTTAGTGGAAACTGCCATATCACGCCATGAGAGGCATGATTCTCTACAGCGCGTACCTCTAGATCTTTGCTGCACTCGCTTCCCCTTTAGGGTCAAACGCACTTGCTGTCTCAAGTATAGCAGACTAGGCAATGCACGACCTAAAACATTTACAGATACAGCCAGGAGCCTTGTTTGCGCCTCACAGTATTGTTGTTTCTACAGCGCCTCAGTCAATCAAATTACAAAATCAACTCATAAGATGATGGGAAACAAAGTGAAGGGGACTCAGGTTCACAGCGCTGCCGAAATCTTTTCCAAAACAGGTTTCGCGACCGATGTCCGAGATCAGCTGGAGGAGGCTATTGCTTCAGGCTCCATTGTTACAAAGGGCGAAAGGCTTAACACTTTAAAAAAGCTTACAAAAGAGGCATACGAGGGTGCACATCCTGAGATGAAAGCATTATGCTTGGCAAAAGTGCAGGAAGAACATGAGACAAAAGCTAGTGAACTGCTCAAGCCAAGAGTGCGATGTAGAAACAACAATACTGCAAGGTGCGAACGAGGCTCCTGACTGTATCTGTAAATGTTGTAGGTCGTGCATTGCCTAGTCTGCTATACTTGAGAAGACAAGTGCATTGGACCCTAAAGGGGAAGTGAGTGCAGCAAGGATATAGAAGTGTGCGCTAAAGCGAAGCGCGAGAAAGCGCAGGTGCACGCAAGGCACAAAGGCACGGGAACACGCACGCGTGATGTGCGAAGTGCAGGAAAGTGCACGCAGGTATGCAGAAATGAGAGAGACTAAGCTTAAGTGATGATATAATGTAAGACAAGAGATGAGAGTGCAAAGTGTCAAGGAATAGATTTCTACTGCAACTTTCTAGGTAGTAAGTAGTAGGTAAAGTTGGGTGAAGTCAAGTCAAAGTGGTAAGTGAGGAGTTGGTAAAGTAATGCTGGCGCTTATATACGGTACCTAAGCTCTGTCATGCAGAGCTGAAGCGCTACTGAGTAAGGTCTAGTATGTAAAGATATATATAAGTAAGGGTCCATGATAAAAATAAAGGTGGAATGATATGCTAATAAGAGAAATGGAAATATACGCACTAGAGAGCTTGGTGGAGAGTGGATGGATGCTTCTGGATGGCTGGCGCTATAGGGCGCTCAAGCACGGGAATGCGCGTGTGCATATACATCGTGAAGCACGGGAAGTGTGTGCGCATGGCGCACATTGTGCGGGAAAGCTGCGCCTCATATAGGGATAGCTGCGGATAGCACACAGAATGATCCTGCAAGTTTGTGCAATGTACTCCCTAGTGAAAACTGCCATATCAAGCAATGAGAGGCATGAGTCTCTACAGCGAGAGCGGACAAACGCAGAACTAGCTAAGTTCATTGGCTTCATCTACTTTGAGAAGTGTTTGGCTCATAGTTACCAAATAGGACACTGGAAGAATGCACTGGTCCCATCGCACACTTCTTGCAAGCCGTCCATGAGATGACTGGCTTCCACTGGACTATTCTGGGTGCTGGACCTGACCCTCAGTATGATAGCGATATCAATGTCATGAGGTGAACACAGTTTTGCACCACACATACTACCTACTGAAATTTCAAAGTTACCATACAGGAACCAACAAGTACGGGCAGAACTGGAAGCAGGCCACTCCCGATTTTGATGATAAGCACCTCAAGCCATATGTTGCCTTCATTTTGAGTCTTTTTCATAAGTCACCAAGCTGCTTTTCCCTTATACGTGGACTTACACAATGAAGCGGAACACATCAGGAAGACATGTGCAATTGACTATGTCCTCCCAACCCCCTCATCGACTCTTGGAACTGAAGCCAACCCAGTGGCTGGGGAGTCGCAGTCTTCTAATGCCACCCAAAACCTTCCATCAACCTTGGCATTAACAGGTCCACCACACCTGCTTCCTGGTACTGCTCAAACACCTATCCCTGACATTGGAAACATGCATCCACCTCCTGCTACTAATTGGTACCCAACTCAGCATCCAGATGAGCTTATTTCCTGGGACAATGGATATGATTTCAGCGGATCAGGGGACTTTGGAATACCGGGCTTCCAGAACCCCTCTGAGGCCAGCACTATGAACGTATCAATGCCATCATCAAGTCTATCTGCTTGTTTAGACTCACCATCGATTTTGCCCACCTCTTTGCACCTTTACCCACAGCTCTTTGCTACTAGCTTCGCATTATCAACTCCTCCCTCTGACTCTCTGGCACCCTTCTTCACCCCACCCATGTTTACCTTCCCTACACTCCCAGCCCCCATACCAACACCTGATTCTTCCACTTCAGCTCCCGTTTTATCTACCACAATTGATGTGCTAGTCAGTCACGGTGGCACTGCGGTGTCTGGACAGAGTCTCCCTAACCTTGTAGACATTGCAGAAAACAACTCTGTAGATGCAAGTATCAAAGTGTTAGATACCTTGGGTATGGGAACGCCTGATGCCACTGCAGTAGTAGAAGTAGAAGCAACTCGAGTCAACTCGAACAATATCATTACCTCTTCCAAACCCAAGGGCCGTCCTACCAGAGGCAAGCACGTGCAACAGGTCCCCGCAGACTCAGAAACACCCAACGACTCGAACAGCACCCAGCCTGTCAGGAAAACTGGATGTGTTCAAATGGAGACTACTCGATTGACGCAGGCCAACAACATTGGCCAAAATCTCAAGCATCCACAACATACCAAGCCCCAGAGTGAGCGTCCTAAGAAAAAGTACTAAGTGTCTTTTTTCTACCTTTGCCCCAGCTCATGTATTGCATGCAGGAAAGCAACATAGTTGCATCGCAATTGGTGGAATCGTTTTCTTGGCAGAACACGTATATACCTTAATCTTTCTTGAATGCATGTACTTAATAGATAACATTGTGAACATGCTTTTTTCAACTGTTAACTTGTTCGTCATGTAAGGAATAAATCAGGCAATGCAAAACATGTAAAACAGACATGCGAGATATATTACAAGCAACAATTGCCGCAACGAACACCAAAAGACTACACTAGTGACTATAGAAGTGAGGACTTGGTAAAAATTGTGCTTGATCAAGAAAGACTATGCTATAGTGACTATATATAAGTGTATCACTAGGGGACTTAGTAGAAATCACGCTCAATTGAAGGACTTAGTGAAATATCCTTTGGCAAGATCTAGATAAAGATCCAGCAAGGCTCAATTGAGCAAGAAGCAGAGAGGGAAGCCAGGAATGGATATGAAGCAGTAGATTTACGATTTGGATGGCCAGATTTAGGCGCAGATAACCAGTGGAAGGCACTCGACACCATTATGCATAAAGGCATCGACAATCGAGGGATTAGCATCAACCATGCATAATGGCAGTATCTGTTACTAGCCTTGGTTATGCATAATTATGACAGTGTATCCTGGCACTACATGCCAGGAAATAGTCAGTGACTGGTGGGTGAGTATGAATAGTTTTCATCTACCTCCATCATGGTGGCTTACCGGTGTAGAAACAACAATACAGAGAGGAACAAATGAAGCTCCTAACTGTATCTAAAAAATGTTGTAGGTCATGCGTTGCCTAGTCTGCTATGCTTGAGGTGGCAAGCGTGTTCGACCCTTAAGGGGAAGCAAGTGCAGCAAGGATCTAGAAGTGTGCACTGAAGCGAAGCATGAGAAAGCACAGGTGCACGCAAGGCGCGGGAACGCGCGCGTGTATTAGCGCGAAGCGCGGGAAAGTGCGCGCGTATGCAGAAATAATAGAGAAGTTAGACTCAAGTGCTAATATGATGCAATATAAGAGAAGAGAGATGCGAAGTGTAGACAAATAGACTTCTACTATGTTCTGCTAAGTAAAATGGTGGGTGGTAACTAGTAAGTTAAAGGGAAAGTCAGTGAAAAGTAAGTGAAAAAAACTCCCTCTCGTAGTATGTACTGCTGGCGCTTATATAGCGCGCCTAAGCGCGGTCATGCAGAGCTGAAGCGCTACCGAGTAGGTATGTAAAGATATATATAAGTAAGGGTCCATTATAAAAATAAAGGTGGAATGATATGCTAATAAAAGAAATGGAAATATACGCACTAGAGGGCTTGGTGGACAGTGGATGGATGCTTCTGGATGGCTGGCGCTATAGAGTGCTCAAGCACGGGAACGCGCGCGCATACATCGTGAAGCGCGGGAATGGCGCGTGTTGCGCGGGAAAGCTGCGCCTCATAGTGGAATATCTGTGGATAATCGCCCCTTGGACCAGCACCAAGTGGCACCCCGACTAGGACCCCGGAAAGCAAAACTTCCAACATCGCGCTCACCAGCGCACTCGACGCCTCTAGGCGCCAATACTCCTTACTCAAAACAGTTCCCTTTGATACATAGTCCCTACTAGCCTCACTTTTAATACTTCTCATAAAAAAACTCGCTGCATAAGATGCCAGTGGACGTCCAAGTAGACTCCATCACTGCGCGGACAAGCTCAAGAAACAAAGAAAACATGCTCCTTAGACCTTCGAATAGATCAATTCCCGAACTAATAAGTAATCCAACCACCCCCTTGAAAGTAACAGATGCAGCAACAGCGAGAGCCGAACTAGTCAGTAAAGGCATGCTGATCCCAGCAGCAGGTGCCTCCATAGAAGACCTGACGAACGCACTCTTCGAATTCACCATTAACACTCCAGGATTCACCCAATTGCAATGAGACATGCTAAGAGCAATTGCTATCCTACTCGGACTCGCCGATTACGAATTGAAAGCCAAGAAGATCGCAGAAATAACCTCCTTCCATCTGGTAGGAACCATTGAATGACTCGAGAAGGTAGTCGACTCCTTCACAGCAATTCCACCTCAATTAGCTGCAATGGCCACTGCTACGGAAATGCTAAAGAAAAACGCTGACGATATCACACAACTCAGGACTATGATGGCGGAAACCGACTTAACACGCCTTCCATCCAACCCACCAGCCAACTCACGTTCCTATAGCTCAGTCATCCAACAAAACGCTCCAATCCCTGCCCCAGTCTCAGCAGCACTACTAAGGGCAGCTATCAAAGACCGCCAAATACTACTTGAACCCATCGTCGGCGGCTCAATCTTCGAACCCAATGAAAACCCTGCAGACATCGCCAAGAAATTCCAACAGACATTATCAACAATTCAATCAAACAATTCCCCCGATCTTCAAATCAAGGCCACGACTCGTTTACGAAACAGAGGCCTCATCATAGAACTAACTACGGCAGAAGCTGCTAACTGGATCCGCTCACCGGAAAACAAGGTAAAACTCACCGAAAAGCTTGACTCACAGTTCTCTATCAAAACACGCAGATTCTCCATCATTGTCCCTTTCCTCTCGGTCACCGCAGATGTTGAAAACGGACCCTGTCTACGCGCGATCGAAATGGAAAACAGCCTTTTGACAGGCTCTATTGAAGCAGCAGGTTGGATCAAGCCAAAGAACCGGAGGGCTACAGACCAAAGAGTGGCACACGCTATCTTCCACTTCTCCGACCCCACAGCAGCTAACTCTACTCTATGCGATGGCATCTACATCAACCAAGAAAAACTATACCCACGCAAAGACAAATGTGAACCGGTCCACTGCGTCAAATGTCAACTTTGGGGTCATGTAGCTAAGGACTGCAACGCGCCGAAAGACGTTTGCGGCACTTGCGGTAAGAATCACCGGACTGACACCTGCAACGCCTACCGCACCTTCTTCTGCGTCAGCTGCAACTCACAAGACCATGCAAGCTGGAATCGAAACTGTCCAGAGTTTGAGAACCGTTGCGCAGGAATTGACGCTAAGCTCCCAGAAAACTCTATGCCTTACTTCCCCACTGATGAGGACTGGATGCAGGTCATGTTACCCCCGAAACCTGCTCCCTACCGAAAGCCAGCTGAGCAGCCCATCATCGAACAAAGGCCGACATTCCGACAGACAAACCTCACCTTCAAAACCAACCCAACGACTGACAACAGAAGATTCTATGGAAGGCCCTCGAGAGGCACACCTGGCTACCACGGACACTCTCGCCCACGCACCTTTACACCAACCAGCTCGAACTCCATCCCAATCCCAATGGGGCGGGGTTTGAATTATCCCGCTCCACCAACCCAACAGCCCCCGACGCCCCCAACCTCCAATGAACGCGGAACCGCAAAGCCCACACCCCCTCAACACCCGCCCATGTCACCCTCACCCTCCTCCCAAAGCACCTCAAACTCCTCAAACCCACGGACCCCTACCCCCCCTCATGTATGAACAATGGAACGACTCAACGACCACCTTACGTGTATGGCAGCAAAATCTCAACACTTCCCTCATAGCGCAGCACTCTCTTCTCAATGGTCCCATCGCCAACAAATGGGACGTTATTGCGCTACAAGAACCACACATTAACCATATGAAAAACACTATATCATCACCCTACTTCCACGCTGTTTACCCAACCACTCGCTTCACTGCCCCAGAAACTACTTCATGTGCCGTTACTCTCGTCTCCAAATCGTTTGACACAAACTCATGGCAACAAATCCCCTTCCCATCTCCTGACGTCGTAGTCATCCAATTCCTTGGACCATTCGGCCGCTGTACAATGTTCAATATCTATAACGACTGCACTCGAATGAAAACCCAAGAAGCCTTATCGACATTCCTCGAACGCGAGATCACCCGAATCCGACCCTCAGCAGGCGATCATATGATCTGGCTGGGAGACTTCAATAGACATCACCCTCTGTGGGACGAAGACCGAAACACACAACTATTCACCAACCATTATCTTAATGCAGCACAACCACTCCTTGATCTTATAGCGGACTACAGAATGATCATGATGTTACCAAAAGGTTTGCCAACACTTCAATTCTCCAGTTCGAAGAACTGGACTCGCCTGGACAATGTATTTTGCACTGACCACACAGGAGAATCATTCATTAGTTGTACTACCAATCCCGCGCTACGAGGTCCAGCCACAGATCACGTTCCTATCCTCAGCATACTCGAGCTCACAATCCCTCAAGCCACGACAGAAACCAAGCACAATTTCCGCGAAGCTGACTGGGAGGAGTTTAAGAGCAAATTAGAACTTGAGCTGGCTAAGATCCCACCTGCCCAACCCTTAGCAACCATTGATGAATTTCAAACAGCGGCCCGCAATCTCACGACAACCATTCAAGCCACCATCGAACAGGTCATCCCGACATCCAAACCGAACCCCCACTCGAAAAGGTGGTGGACAAGAGAACTGACCATGATGAGGAGAGAAGTCGCGAAACTCAGTCACCTGTCGTATCGCAATAGAAGTCATGCTAACCACTACAGTCACGAGGAACATCGCATCAAGCGGAACCAGTACACGGAGGCCATCAAGAAGGTTAAGAAAGACCATTGGACGGATTGGCTCAAGAACTTAACAGGTAACGAAATCTGGACTGCTAACAAGTATCTTACAGCGTCGGCTGGTGACGGCGGACTCTCGAAAATCCCCACACTCAAACATTCAGAGAGTGGTACAGCAGATACCAATGAAGAAAAAAGTGCAGCTCTTGCGAAAGCTTTCTTCCCCCCACCACCGGCAGCGTCTTCAGTATCTGAAGACTATAATTATCCAGCAGTGGTCCCGACCCCAGCACTTCTAACTTCTGATCAACTTCAACGAAGTATATTAAAGTTAAGCCCATACAAGGCTCCAGGCCCTGATGGGATTTGTAATGTGGTATTCATTCGTTGCGCTGACCTCTTGCGTCCCTTTCTACTCCATCTATTTAGGGCAGTATTCTCACTCAACACATATTACGATCCATGGCGCGACTTCACGACAGTAGTATTACGCAAACCAGGTAAACCGGACTACACTGTCACCAAGGCCTACAGACCAATTGCGCTCCTCAATACAACCTGCAAGCTTCTGACCGCCATTGTAGCTGACCAGATGACTTATCTCCTAGAGCACCACGAACTTCTCCCCAGCACCCACTTTGGCGGACAACCTGGTCGGTCTACCACGGACTCCCTCCACCTCTTAGAAGCGACAATCAAGGACGCCTGGCGTCAAGGTAAAGTAGTATCAGCACTATTTCTCGACATCAAAGGAGCCTTCCCCAACGCCATAACAGACCGTCTGTTACACAATATGCACACATGACGGCTACCTGAATCTCTAGTCTTATTCACGGAACATTTACTAACAAACAGACGCACCCAGCTGAAATTCGATGGACACCTGTCAGAATGGATACCAATCACTAACGGTATAGGCCAAGGAGATCCACTTTCAATGATTCTATATATTATCTACGACTCTGACTTAGTTGATATTGCAGTAGGACGTGCAAAGAAGGAATGAACATTAGCCTTCGTCGACAACACGGCCTTCATCGCGATCGGTAAAGACTTCCACGAAATGCACGTGATTTTGAAGGACATGTTAGAAAGAGAAGGAGGAGGTTATGCATGGGCACTAGCTCATAATTCCAAGTTCGAAACTTCTAAGTTTGCACTGATGGACTTTTCTATGAACTCAGCGAAAGATCGACCACCCTTGATCACACAGGGCACTACAATTACACCAACGGCAACTCACAAATTCTTAGGAGTCATCCTCGACCAAGCGCTAAGATGGAAAGCCCACATAGCCTATGCCATCGCTAAGGGAACAGCATATGTATTACAGCTATGTCGTATTTCTTCTACTTCTACAGGAGTACCCCTCTCATTGATGCGTCAGTTATACCTCTCAGTCGCCATGCCCAAGATGTTGTACGCAGTCGACCTCTGGTTCCGCCCTATATTTGTTGGCAATAATGATAAGCAACAACTTGGATCCATCGGAGTAGCACGTCATATCGGTCGGGTTCAAAGACTGGCTGCCTTAAGTATTACAGGAGCAATGCGCTCTACAGCGACAGACACCCTGGAAGTTCACGCGAAATTGCTCCCTACGGAACATAGGATGCAGAATCTTTGTTATCAAGCAACAATACGCCTAGCCGCTCACCCCAAGTCCCACCCGCTATATGAACCAGTCCAAAAAGCAGCCAAGAAGCACGTCAAACGCCATCGCTCCTCACTCCACCACATGTTCCACACCTCCCAACTCAACATCTCCTCCATCGAAACCATTACCCACAGCAGACGACCACCTAACGACCGCAACTCTTATACCATCAACATCGCTGAATCGAGGGAAAAGGCAATAGCGGAGCACAATGCTAATACCAACGAAATCAAGGTATATTGTGACGGGTCAGGCATTGATGGTAAAGTAGGCGCAGCAGCAGTGTTATGTCGACAAGGCCAGCATCGACCGAGGACATTAAGATACCATCTAGGTTCCATAGACGACCATACCGTCTACGAGGCAGAATCAGTAGGCTTGACATTAGCGGCCCAGCTCCTTTCGACGGAGGAGGACGTCACCTACCCCATATCAATCTATGTCGACAACCAAGCAACAATCAGATCCGGTGACATGTTCTCTACTAAACCGGGTCACTACCTGATAGACCACTTCCGCAGGGCAATACACAAGCTGAAGAAAGATAGCAAGGACTGCAATTTCAAGATCAACGTCCATTGGATTTCGGGACACGACGGAGTAGCAGGTAACGAGAAAGCGGATCAAGAGGCAAAGAGAGCAGCACAGAGCAGCGAAGACAGTAGCACTACCTGCCGCCTTCCACCATACCTTCGTAAAGGTGTCCTACCAAGCAGCATATCTGCGTTAAAGCAAGCCCAACGCCAGGAATCCTCAGAGAGATGGGCCAGAATTTGGTCCAAATCCCCATGTCATATGCGCTGTAGAAACAACAATACTGAGAGGAACAAAGAAATGCTCCTGACTGTATCTAAAAAGTTGTAGGTCGTGCGTTGCCTAGTCTGCGATACTTGAGATGGCAAGTGCATTCGACCCTAAAGGGGAAGCAGGTGCAGCGGAGATCTAGAGGTATGCGCTTCAGCGAAGCGCGAGAAAGCGCAGGTGCGCGCAAGGTACGAAGGCGCGGGAACGCGCGCGCGTATTAGCGCGAAGCGTGGGAAAGCGCGCGCGTGTAAGCGGAAATAAGAGAGACTAAACTTATGTGAAGATATAAGCAAGATAAAGGATGTGAGATGTGTTGTGCTAATGAATAGATTTCTACTGTGACTTTCTAAGTAGTAAGTACTAGGTAAAGTTGGGTGAAAAGTCCGGTGTGAAAGGTAAGTAAGTAATAGTATGTACTGCTGGCGCTTATATAGCGCGCCTAAGCGCGCTCATGCGGAGCCGAAGCGCTACCGAGTAGGTATGTAAAAATATATATGAGTGAGAAATAGGGAGCTTGGTGGACAGTGGATGGATGCATCTGGATGGCTGGCGCTATAGGGCGCGCAAGCGCGGGAACGCGCGCGCGCGTATACATCGTGAAGCGCGGGAATGGTGCGCGCATGGCGCGCGTTGCGCGGGAAAGCTGCGCGTCATATAGGAATCACTGTGGATGGTACACAGAGTGATGCTGCAAGTTGGTGCTGTATACTCCCTAGTGTAAAGCGCCATATCACACTATGAGATGCACGAGTCTCTACACCGCGCTCCACATACTCCCTCCGTACAAAGACCGCCTTCGGTGGTCCGAGTACATGTATACCCCCAACACATGACAGGCCCATCTTAAACACAATATGTATCACTATGGCCCTGTGGAGTAGCAAACTCGTGCATCTAAAATGGCCAGCGGGAACGGCGGACTGGTGGAGGTCAACCCTCCACCAGGGCATTTGCAGAGTTGGAGACATGGTGGGGGACGCAGGTGTCCCCCTTTCCTAGATAGAAATGTCCTACATAGGGTACTATACCCCAACCGGACAAAAATTAGATTCAAAAAAAAAAAAAAAAAAATCTGTGGATAGCACACAGAGTGATGCTGCAAGTTTGTGCTATGTACTCCTAGTGTAACGCGCCATATCATACCATGAGAGGCATGAGTCTCTACACCGGTGTGGTAGGTCTTCTTTTGTGTCTCTGACGCTGCAGTGAGTCATATTTCCACTCTCACATTTGGCACTGTGGTTGACAAGATGACTCAGACATGTAAGTAGTTCATCGCCAAGTGCTCAGTTGTCACAGTGAACAAATTTCACCCTGCTCAAGTATCAAGAACATCTCAGCATGCATATGGGGGCCGCTCACAATATCATAGACAGTAGAAACTGTAGACTCAAAAATCAAACTTTATGTGTGACAAAACCTTTCTCCCACCAACCATGAGCGGAGATATATCTCTAGAACTGGACCCGTGCTTTTGATGGTGAGACATGAAGATACAAACTTGAAAGTGTCTTTTGGGGTGAATCCGTCACCTACTATGCCTGTAGTGTAACTGCTCGAAAGTTACTGACCCCCTCTTTAGGGGTTATCCTGGCAGCTTCGCTATTACGCACCTTGGACCAACTAAATGATACTATGAAACTATTTCTGTGAAAACAGTGATCGAGTTTAGCCTGATGTGTCGCAATATGCCCCATCCAAAGAGTCATGGATAATGACAGAGCGCTGAGATGTCCAACATCTAAAAGTCGGATGCGCTCGATGAGCGGTGTTTGATTTTAGGCGACCGCTTAGCGTCTTTTAAGTTTCTGCGCGAGCGAGCAACCCAAATATTTCCAAAACAATATATATTGAGTGAATCTTATGAAAGTGCAAGATTATCACAAAGGAATCAAATCTTATCTACATATCTACAGATCATCAGACATACTAGCCGTACTGATAGTAGATATACCTCGTTCAACTAAATCTTTCTTTAAAGAAATGGAAGCGTGATATACTGCAGGAACGTTACGAATGGTGAGATTGTGTTGTTGAATGAAACGATACTCTGCTCCAGATGACGAAGATGCTGAAAACTCCACCGTCTGACGTCTCCCGTTGAGATGCTCCATGAGGACTGAATGTGTTGCAGCGCCGCCAAGTGAAATCAGATTGTCGAGAGCGTCCACGTCGTCTATGTCAAGCTCTGTGTGGAAGCCGGTTTCCCACACAGCTGCAACGATGATGGCGTGTACGCCAGGATGATTGACTGGGGCCAGCGAGTCTGGATCATTCGTTTCGTGCTAGAGAAAAAAAAGGATAAGTCATTAGAAGAAGAATACAAAAAGAAAACTCACCAAAAACAAGTACGCGTGATTCTCAACGAGTATCAGTACGCGTTGTTTCCTGTGCGCGATCTCCGCATTTGCGTCCAACGGACGGTTAAGATCATAATGGACTGGGACTTCGCGGTGCGCCCTCGTTTTGAAGGCCGTTCATATGGTCGTTGTGAGGGTTCGGAGGCTCTTAAGACAGGTTTCGTAGTTGGGAACCTCCGCGTCAGGCATGAAGTCCTGGCGAGCTGCCGACAGCGCTGCCTCCGCCATCGCCATGTTGACGCCCGTTTCGGGCATAGCGTTCTCTAGTAACACCTTGCGGCGCATATTAGACTTCGCGGCTTCCATCAATTTCTTGAACTGCTCATTAGTCGGACGTTGGGGAGCATAGGGATGGGAGCGTGCAGGACTGTTGGCCACAGGCCCGGAGCCAGCCACAGGCAAATTAGTGATAGGCGAGGGAGGAGTAGACACCGGAGGCAGCTCTCTGCGAGACGGGAGTGGTGCAGTAACAGTGATGTCTCCTGTAGCCTGTAGAAGAGAGTCAGTCATGATCATGATACAAGTGAGCGACGCACTCTGATAACTCCGGTTGGGAACAGTTGTCCCCGGTGGCCTTTGGGTGGGCGGCGAGGATCGTATACGAATACCTTCCGAATTCCGGGCAGGTCGATGGGTAAGCGTCCCAGATAACGTGTCCGTTCTTCCTCCCTCTGCGGCTCTTGCATGTGTCCGATATTCCTGAAGGTTGTCGGTGTGGGCACATCAAATTGATGTGCCTCACGAGACACGAGTTCCGGTGGTGCGAATGGCATCTGTGGGAGCCCGTAAGTGTGAGCATGAGGGGCTGGTTGCTGTTGGAGCTGCCGGGAGTCTGGCGGTGGAGCTGGCTGCATGAACGGTGGGCGGTAGTCGTGCGACGGGCCTGGTTGCCCAAGATGTTGTCGAGGGATCTGCCGGGGGTCCGGCGGTGGAGCTGGCTGCATGAACGGTGGGCGGTAGTCGTGCGACAGGCCTGGTTGCCCAAGATGTTGCCGAGGGAGCTGCCGGGGGTCCGGAGGTGGAGCTGGCTGCATGAATGGTGGGCGGTAGTCGTGCGACGGGCCTGGTCGCCCAAGATGTTGCCGAGGGATCTGCCGGGGGTCTGGAGGTGGAGCTGGCTGCATGAACGGTGGGCGGTAGTCGTGCGACGGGCCTGGTTGCCCAAGATGTTGTCGAGGGATCTGCCGGGGGTCCGGCGGTGGAGCTGGCTGCATGAATGGTGGGCGGTAGTCGTGCGACGGGCCTGGTTGCCCAAGATGTTGCTGAGGGAGCTGCCGGGAGTCCGGCGGTGGAGCTGGCTGCATGAACGGTGGGTGGTAGTCGTGCGACGGGCCTGGTTGCCCAAGATGTTGTCGAGGGAGCTGCTGGGAGTCCGGCGGTGGAGCTGGCTGCATGGACGATGAGTAGTAGTCGTGTGACGGACCTGGTTGTGCGAGATGTTCATCGGCTTCCTCCATATTGACTTCCTCCATATCATCTTCCTCCTCCATCTCATCATCCTCGTCCTCGTCGTCCTCATCCTCGTCCATGCCTTCGGATTCGATTAACGAAATTAGTTGCTGGTATGATGCCGGACCTTGAGGTTGTTCGACACGGACACCGATCTGGCTTGCATCTGAATTCAAAGACGGGTTTAAACCCGAATTTTTCCCTGGTTTTTTTATTGCCTAATAATATTATATTAGTAGCATGCATAGGTAGTAGTACCGTAAGACTTACCTTCGCATTCTTGCGCGAGGGACACTTTTTCGTGATCTTCGTGTGCTTGCGAGTTGCACTGGCCTTTGGGGGCATGATGATGGGTGGGTGGAAAACGTATGAGAAAAACGTACACTTGAGTCCAGGTGCTTAACAGCCGGGGTTATTTAATTGGCCCCAGGGTTCTATCGGCCTCATGGCGCAGCCAATTCAATAGAAAGATCAATCAGTAATCACGAATGCAGACATTTATGTATTAGACGCACCGAAATCTGCATGCTGCGAACCTCGTGGCATGATGATCAGTATGTTTGACGCAGTTTCACGCGGGGTAAGGACAGAATAGGCAAAAAGATGTGATAGTGCGGAATGATATTGATGGTGACAAGATAGTATCGATAGTGACAAGAAGAAGAGAAATCAGTCACGAGGCTACATCGAACATTACTACAAAACTCTTGAATACATAAAACTGGTACACCGTTGATCTAGAGCGGTAATCGACGAATCAGTGACATTTTTGACCAAGATAAGAAATGAACTTAACTGATTGCCTAGTCCCGACCGCTTTCGGAGTCTTCGCCACCGTCGTTAGCCATGATCAAGTCTGTGTCGGTGACCCCGTGTGCGATAAGTAGTCCTTCCATATCGTTGTATTTACCTTGCACAAACTTGAGGGACTCCTTTGCTTTGAGGAGGTTTGTAGTAACGCTGGAGGATGGTTCAGAAACCTCTGTGCACTCTTTCTGCGCGTTTTCAATCCAGAGTCGAAGCCCATCTTCTGCAGCTTCATGTTCTTTCTTCAACTTGTTGATGGATTGGTTCAAGAAACTAGTCCACCTGCTCGCCTCTTCTACCTGCCAGATCCTGGTCATGATAAGGTGGCGAAGCTTCTCACAAGTGGCATACTGAGCAGCAACAGCCACTTTGAGATCCTCAGGTGGCATGTTTGTGTCGCCCAGAATCTCTGGGGCCTGTTTAATCGAGTTCAATACAATCAGTACCAGCAAAAATGTGGAAAAGACTTACAAGGGACACAAAACTTGCAATAGGGATATCATGTCCCTCTGACTCAGAGTCAAACAAAGCAGAGTTAAATGAGGAGCAGCTCCCCTTGGGAGACCGTAAGGTGTAGTTCCCCCGGGGAGAGTGTAAGGAGTAGTTCCCCAGGGGAGACCGAGACCTGCATAGAGACTGAGACTTACGCTTAGCCTTGGGACTTGCTCTATAAGCAGGAGAGGAATGTTCGACGAAAGTTGCAGAGCTGGTTGGGCTAGTAGGGCGCATAGTAGCAATACAAGTGTCCAGCATGATATGAACAATGGACTTGGAGGATTTGACCTGAATGTTTTCTCACTCAGCCTCTCGCTGCGGTGCTGTCAACAGACTTGTCAGCGAGTTTCGGAGTTTGAAGGACTTAACAGAATTCCAAATACACGGCGGTGGATGGTCAGTCAAGGTGATTCTTAAGGCTGCGATATCAATAAGTTCTTCAAGTTGAACGCTCCGATGGCATCCAATGTAGAAGAGGGCTTTACCTCTGATGAGATGTTTTTTAGGGCCGGAGAGTACGTTTTTGATATCAAACTTACACGATGGTCCTGATCAAGCTGGCTATCATATAGTGGTACTAGCCAGTATCCTTGTCCCACCTGTTCCACGCCATTTGTGAAGGTGGAAGAACTTTGCACTCACCTTACAGATGATCCGCAATGCAATGCTGTACCCATCCCTCATGCACTTCGCCAACCTGCTGGTCCAGGTGAAGAACGCATGGGTCGCTATCACACGAAATCCGGCTCTATTTACGGGTTTCAACGGCCAAATACGTTCGAGCGCATGAAGGCTCATGACTATGAGTCCGCTCGCGAACATAATGTGTACTACCCATTTTCTGGGAGGGAGGAATGGGAACTCGCCAAATTTCTCATTGAGAATCTGAATCAGGGGCAAATAAGTCGCTTTTTGAAGTTATTATGGGTCAGTGAACTTTACATTAACTTTTAAATTTTAACAGCTCGCTATTAGGTGAAGTCAGAAACACGGCAACAGCCCACATTCAAAACTGCGCCCCAACTGCTAACCTTTATGGATGCCCTGCCAAAGGGACCGCAGTGGCGCTGCACAACAATCGAGACAGATGGTTATGTTACAACGCATCCTGTGCATCTTATCTGGCGTGATGCTTTGGAGGTAACGAAGCACATATTTGGCAATCCGATTTTTGCCAATGACATGGAATTCGATCCATATGAGATATTTGTTGACGGAGAACGGGAATATGGTGAATGGATGTCGAGTTCGCGTGCGCATGATATCCAGGCTTGTATTATTTTTTATGTTCGAATACAAATTCTGACGATAGTTTTTATGCATAGGACGAGCTTCCACGAGGTGCTACCATTGTGCCCATCGTTCTTGCATCGGACAAAACTCCTGTCACTCGACACACAGGAGGTCTCGAGATGCATCCCACGTTCCTTACTATCGCTAACATCCGATCTGACATTCGCATGAAGGCTACGGCTCACGCATGGTCGTGCATTGCGTATATGCCCATTCCTCAGTTCATTTGCAACCCCGAGTTCTCTTCACTCTTGCAAGCCCGTGTGTGGCATCGGTGCATGGATATAGTCTGCGTGAATCTCAAGGAGGCAGCCGCTGTAGGCGCAAGTATGGTGGACCCATTGGGTCTCTTACGCTATGGATTTACCCCCCTTGTCGCATATACCACCGACCTCCCCGAACAACAGATGGTTTCATGTGTAAGTAAGAATACATCACCAGTCACTCTAGCCATCCAGTCACAGTTCGGGGACGGAAAGTTGTATGAACCTCGCGACGGCCAGGGCACACTCAGGACACTTGAAGAACTTGGTCAGCGTATCGATCCCTGGAAGGTCCAGGAATTTCAAGAAGCAGCCAAAGCATCACATCTCAGCGGGGTGCAGCTTCCCTTCTGGCGTGACTGGCGCTTCGCTGATCCAGCTATTTTCCTTGCACCTGAACTTCTCCACACATGCCATAAATTTTTCTTTGATCACATCCTCAAATGGTGTAAGGAAGTTGTTGGGGCTGATGAACTCGATACTCGCTTTCGTTCGCAACATAAACGCATCGGAACCCGTCACTTTGGGCAAGGTGTCTCCCATGTCTTGCAGATGACTGGTCGGGAACATCGGGACATCCAACGCACAATCGTACCTACAATTGCAGGTGTCGTCGATCCTGATTTCGTCCGCGCTGTTCGCGCGATGGTCGATTTCATCTACAAAGCACAGGCTCCAACTTTCACTCCAACATCGATCGCTGACATGACCTCCTCCCTCCAAGAGTTTCACGAATTCAAACACGCAATTCTCCGTGCCGAGGCTCGCCGAGGAACATTGGGTCCTATTGAGCATTTTGAAATTCCAAAACTTGAGCTCTTAGCATCATTCACTCGAGCCATCCCCCAGCTTGGCTCCATTATACAATTTACTGCTGATGTCAGTGAGCGCATGCTCATCACACAGTGCAAGAATCCATTTGAGCGCACCAGCCACCAACGTGCAACGTTCACTCAGCAAGTCGTCCGTCTCCTGGACCGGGAAGAGACTGCACGCCAGTTCGACCTCTATGCCCTCCTCCGCTCAAACGACATGTCCCTCAACAACCTCATCGTCAACGAATTCGACGAAGTCGTTGACATGGACCCGATGTTGGGTTGGATCATGCGCGTCGCTCCCGAAGAACTGTCTCGGTTTCAAGGCCCACGTCCCGTTCGCAACCATTTCCTCAAAGGCCTGCTGTCTGAAGACAGCAGGGTCGCCTTTCATATCACTGTATCCAGTGACCACACCAACAAGACAGCACCTTTTTTGGCGCGATTATACCAGCTTCCTGACTTTCCTCTGACGCTTCGCTCCTTCATTGAAAGTGTCAACCCTACGCTCGCAACTCGTTTCCAGAACCGACTGCTCAACGTCTGGAACAAGTTTCGTATTCAGCTGCATTCGACGTTGCGTCCACGTCTCGTCATGCCGAGCCAGCAGGTACAAGCATATCCGCCATCTACCAATTATCCTCGTGGAAATTGTGATGCTGTCCTGCTGCAGATGCACAGTGAAGGTGAAGAAGGTGAAAATCTTGGTGAGTTTTGAAGTTACGGTCAGTATCTTTGTATTCACGCATTTCTTCACTAGACGCCATTGTAGCTCAAGTTCGCATGGTGTTTGGCTTGTCAAAGAAAGGCCCACCGTTGCCTGCTGAACTTGACCAAATATTCCTCTATGTACAGCTCTTCGAAGTCGTCGCACGTCCTCAAGATGATGTTGGAGTCATGATGTTCCGCGTTAAGCGCCGTTTTGTGACCGGTCCTGATGGCACACAAGTGCGGGTTGGCATGATCATTCCTCTGCTCAATGTTACCCATGCAATCGAGCTCATTCCTGTTTACGGGGACAGAGCTAATCGTGCTGTTGACTCCTCGACTAGTGCTGCCGAAGTCCGGTTCGGTTCGGTTCTTGGGGCAAATTTTCCGAACGCCGAACCGAACCATAGGTTCGGTTCAGCCATTTGGTCGAACCCTGGACCGAATGTCACCGAACGCGTTCGGGAGGGTCCGGTTCGCGTTCGAACCAGGTTCGACTAAGCTTGGACCATCTGTGGTTGTATAGGCTCGAGACCATGAGTTGTCATGTAATTCGAGTCGGACAGACAACGAAAAGACTCTAACGCAAGGAGAACTTCTTTGTACAAAGATTGAATTCAAGTTTCTAAAATAAACACATTTTATTTGCCCGGTGCACATAGTTCCCTGATCACATTCTCATCGATCCTCTTCTCTAAACATATCTCAAACGCAGCAGCATGTACGGTTGCAGTATTCGAGATTGCAAGCGTGTCAATCTTCGCTGCAGGATTCTCTGAAAGGTGGAAAGCCCAGAGAATAACAGCCGTATTGATGAAGATGGACCGATTCGCGACATGTTGACCAGGACACACTCTAGTATTTTCAAGTAAGGCATGAGAAAAGGTGGAAAGATGAACGATACCACTCACCGGCGGCCAAAACCAAAAGTGAAAAACTTGAGATCAGTGATCACCGCGCACACGACCTGCATCGTCGCGCGATGCGCAAAGCCTGTAGTGAAAGGTGGTCGTCCATTATCGCATCATCACAACTGAAATAAGACGTACCTCCAATAGCAGCCACTGTGACACTAATCCCATCAGCTACCCCTGACAGGTCTCCACCTGAGACCCTCGAGGATGAACACGGTAACTTGCGGCATAGCTTGAGCTCGAACGAAGACCGACAGACTCACGAACTGCGAACGGTGGGCAACGACTTGTATCAGCATGGCTGTTGCTCGAACGAGGATCGACACACTCACGACCTGCGAACGGTGGCCAACGTCTTGGATCAGCACGGCTCTTGTTCGAACGAGGAACGGTGGCCTGGTCCGCCAACGATTTGGATCAGAATGGTTCGAGCTCGAAAATCTTGACATACTCACTTCCTGCGAACAATAAGCAACGACTTTGATCAGCATGGCTCATAACATTCCCAAGTAGTACTTACCTATATTAATCATTAGCAAGAGTTCAAAGTGTTTGGAATTCATATAGCGACATAAGATACCTAGTGTTTGAACATGTTGTGACGGTGCAGTACTGTGTCACAGCGCGTCACGACTGCGGCAGGCGCGACAGAGGACCGCGTCAATTTCACCCGGCTCAAACCTGCGCGGGTTGCAGACACATGCATTTGCATATATTGACACATAGTAAATACTTACATCTTTTTAAAAAAGTGTAAAGCGTACAAAAATTGAGAGGTTCGAACCCGTTCGAACCTATTCACTACCAGCCCGAACCCCGAACCTCTGGAAAGGTTCGGTTCTGAGTCTTGGCCGAACCTTGGACCGGACCATGCGTCCGGTTCGGAAAGGTTCAGGTTCGAACCGAGGTTCGGAACCGGACTGCGGCAGCACTATCCTCGACGTGTTTGGAAAGCTATGATACCTTCTACCTTAACAATTTTTCAGACAAAGAATGGTACCACATGCTACACACAGATTTCATGTAGTTTCCCTCGAGTCTAGACGTCCTGTGGTGTGCATCGCAATGTTAGATTGATTGATTGGACTATCTTGCAAAGATAAGATTCGCTAAATAATTTAAGACTAAATCTAAGACTCGATTTCGTGATTTTGACACGACTAAGTGAGTTGTCAGATCTCCACCAATCGCATGGCTTCGCTACTGAAGTCGTAAGCGTTCGTAAGTGTTCGTAACGCGCGTAAGTTAAGCGTTCATTTCAGTCGTTTTGCAGATGAAGTTTGGCCGGATTATGTAATTCACACACCTAAGTCAGCGCTAATATTACAATTGACCCGGCACCGCTTGAAACAAAAGTTCAACGTGATCCATTCACTTTCTCTTTCACCCACAAGCTATGAACGACTGTCTCCCGTCTGTTATGGTCTGTCCATGCAAGGGAGGTCTCAGGACTCAGCCAAGAAGTCGTGTTTGACGATGCATGAATACTTCAATGCTTCTAAAACGAGTGCATGGGTACGAAAACACCTCGCTTAAACCATAGAACGACTATTACAATTTGTTGTATCACCAATCCTTCTCTGTTCCAACCGTGTTGGACCCACGTCCGTGTGTTCAAGGTGACTATAACTGGGGAGACAAAATATTGACATTCGGCTGAAGCCCTAGCATATAGATGCGATTCGCATTTTCAAAGAATGCCATCTTTACGATAGACACCGCCTGGTCTTCTGTGAGGTCTCGTTTGCCGACGAAGCCCGCTAGGACCTGAAAAATCAAGGTTCATATCTAAAGGATTCACCCCAAAGGAATTTGCCGATCACCTCGTATATCACCTCGCGAGCTTGGGCAGTGGCAAGGTAGAACCTTTCTGGCCACCATGCCGCATCAGCTGTGGGACGGTAAGTAGTGTGTGCGGTGACAGATGGACTGCTAACGAACTAGACCACAAGATCTTATTGGTAGGCGCCAACTCAAGCACTTGACGCACCACAGTGCGTTGGGCGTCAGCAGAAATAAAAGGAAAAATCTCTCCGAAGTCAAGATAAACGTTCTTATACACTGACGTGAGGTAGCCAGCGTCTCTCGTGTAAGGATAGCTAGAATGCAGAAGAACGAATATGGTATCTGGGAACGCCTTGATGATAGGCTGCATATGCGCCGGAGAAGACTTTGTCAGCGTGATTTCATTATCTCCGAGGCCTTCAGGCGGATAAGTATCACATGATGCGACCCGGGCCGCTGTTTTTCAACGCACCTGTGTGGAACTGGACTTTCGACAACGTAAGAGGGAGGGCGTCGCACGGGACGGAACGAACGCTTACTAGGTTTCTTGCATTTGCCTGCGATATCGAGGACTATCTTGACTAGGTGATCATTCAAAGCTTTGTGCTCGAACCGAATGGAACCCTTTTCCTTGAATTGCTGAGATGCAGATGCTAGGCACTTGAAGAGTTCATCTGCGCTGCAGGGTGCAGGGTCGACATCCAGACCGGTTCTGTCGCATAAGTGAGTTGATATGATCATCGATTCAAGTCATGATGCAACCACTTACCTGTAGCAAGCGACAGACTTGTACCCTACCACACGGTCGTCTACGGCAGCGTCATTCATGCAGGTGGTGAACTCCTTCAGGAACTCGCCCCACAGACTATCGATCGAAAGAGGCGAGTCGTCATTTGCGACAAGGATGTCTTGTAAGATGTTCTAAGCATCGGAACTGAGCGTTTCTCAAAGATGGGGGATGACGATACCTTACCTGGCCTTCCACTTCTAATCTCACAATCCGCTTCGATGGATTTCCAGTGTACTGGTCGTGCCAATTCAAGTCTTCAGCCATTTCTGCGATTCCACCCAAGCCGTCGTCGAATAATATACACTGAATTCCCGTATGCTCCATGCAGAGCTTACACAACTCTGCATAATCGAACTCAAGCCTCTTCTTCTTGACGCCTTCCCAGGTAGCATCGTCACCTGTCAATCCAAAGAGTTGGGATAACTGAGCTGCTGCACGCAAGCAAGGAAGGGTGTGAACGGCATCATCTAAGGCATCACCATGGGCCTCAGATATGAGTACTTCGTATCGGACAGAGTCGCGGTGCTTTGATTTCAGGAATGGGTGGGCGTGGTTATCGATGATGGGGTACCCGAAGGCGGCTTTGGCTAGTTCTCTGTACATTGGTCCCACGGGTGTTAGATGAGGTGGTGATGATATGGCGTGCTTGGAAGCAACGTCTTATCTAGGGGTTCTGAATCTATTTATCCGTGCTTGAACTAGGATGCGCTATAGAATATTAATAAGCGATTGATATCTAATCAGATCAAGCAAATACAAAGTTACTTCCGCTTTTCTTCCTCCACACAACCATTGACTGTTGGCATGCCTGTGACAATCGAGGATTTGGAACGGGCCATTCGAGCTGCATTTCCTGTGTCCCATCTCGACATCGAGGATCAGTCGAGTGGGTGTGGATCCAGCTATGCAATTCTCTTGGTTAGTGAGGTACGTGTTCGAAACGAGCTGAAGCTGAAGCTGCTAATAGTCAACGTGAAATGGAATTATCACACAGGCCTTTGAGGGAAAGACTACTCTTGCAAGACATAGATTAAGTGAGAGTCTCAGCATGGCGTTAATCATAATACAGGGATGCTTATCGTCTGATAGTCAACCAGGCACTGAAGCAAGAAATATCGCAGCTGCACGCATTTTCTCAGGTAGGCTTGCGGGCTTATTCGTATTGGAACGCTACTTTGGTTGAACGGCTTTCACTGCAGAAATCCTTTACGCCAGCGCAATACGCTGTGCACCAAGCGAAAAGTGGTTGACTTGTGGAGTACTTTTGCAACAGCACAATAGTGGTGTTTTGCCGGAAATTATTAGACGGGCGACAACTGGCATGTTTTTTAGTTCAAGCGGGGAATGTGGCTAGTAATACTGAAATCAACGCTTCAAGCGTGGCCTTTAGATCTAGTGTGATGTGAACGTGGTCTTCAAGGCGGACAATAGAAGCGGTTACTCCTGCTCAGGCCTTTTCCACTGTCCGAGCAGTGGCTGGTATTCAAGTTTGATCAGTTGTTTCCACAGACAACCGACATCATTCTACGCTATTCAGATGGTTCACATGTCAAGACCACAGTTACACTTGAACTGCGTCCCCTCACATGACCTTGCCAGTGTGGAGACTTTGCTGATTTGAAAATATTATGGTTGTAGATCAATGCTAATCATTGGCCCTTTGTTCAGTGCTTTAAACCACTGTCAGTGTGGTACGTTCCCGCTTCGTTGTGGTTCGGTAAACATCATCCACAGGACGCTTCAAGCAAAACAATGGTCTTTCGCCCTGCCACTAACACTGCAGCCAGAGATATAAAGGTGCTCGAGATGGACAGCAGAACTCCCAGCACACTCTCATCTTCTTCCCTGTATCTTTCGAACTACCATTCTCACTATGTCGGAACAAACTTACTCTGAAGTCGATGCCCTTTTGCAAGAGTTCCAGAATTTGCCACTCGGCGAAACAGACGCATTATTTGCGAACACTGAACTTGGAACAACTTTCGTCAACGACCAGCTAGGCGAAATCTTCATTGCGTTTTTGTCCCAGTTCTTTACGCCAGACATAACAACATATCGCTCCACTTGTGATAGCCTAATGCCTCTGATTAGCCTGGCGCTACTTGCTGGGAAAACTCGCCAGCTGGTATGTTTTGTCTCAAGTCATTTTGACGCGCTGGCTTACAGAATTTATAGCTTTTAGATATCTTGGAGGTATGGGTTTTATTCTAGCTTGCTAATGTGTTAGATGTTGACTTCGTGGCACACCAGCTTGCCGATGTGATGTTCGAGAGTTCTGTGAGCGCCTCTCTGACACTCCAGGAGGGCTTCGACCCACAGTACTTTGTGCCGACGCACTCAATCGCCCGAATACGCTTGATTGACATCATTAACCAATGCCTCACGTCTCCACACGATTCAAGCGACATCCGCTGTACGTATCCAGTTCATTCTCGATTATGCGTGCATGTCTCACGATGCCCACTTCAGCTGAACTCCTGGCTCTGAGATCGAATATTCAAGAGCGAGAGAATCAGGCAAAAGCTGCCTTGCTTGCTTCCGATATCCAGTGGATTCACGATCTAGCTGAAATTTGGCCTGAGTTCAAAGCATTGGACCCCTCATACACCTCTACTGAGGCTTTTCCAAACCCAACCGCCCAACTCGGACCGAACTCGGCTATGAATATGGGAAACCCGCGAGTGTCCGAGTTGACGCGCCTTATGGGAGCGTCTCGACATCTATCTACCCTATCTACAACATCTTCACGCCCCATCAAGAGTCTCCCTGCACGAGGTGCCTCGGTTGCCCGCATGCGATCACTTTCCGCGATGCTTTCTCCTCGAGTTTCAGATCGCGTGCTGTCCGCGCTTGGGACGGTCGCTGAAGAAGAGATGCAAGTGGACTGAGATCGTATTTGTATCGCATTTTATCGGTCTCGGCATAGTCTCAGCATATCACGCAAATAGTATATCTGTAAATATTGTAGCATCACAAACATCTCGAACATTCGTGGGGTAGCATATATCATAGTTCTGAAAGGTTGTATATACTGGTCATTTATAATTATCGAGAGAGACGTGGTATAATGGATTCGGCTGGTTTCTTTACATTCGTCTCTTCGAGTTGAACGACCCAAAGGTTTAAGGGGGCCAATAATTTTGAACATTGTTGTCTGAGGTGAACAGACTTTTATTTGGAGGTTCTATGGGTGTCGGAAACATGCGCGATAATAGCGGTCAACCCATACTTTTACAGCTCAATTGTGTACTAAGTAGTACTACTGTAGTAGTAAGTTTGAGTACTAGCTCGGAGTAGTTAGTCTCGGCCGGGCCGTTGGGGACTCAAGAATGTTTGATCATGTTTGGTGTTATTGAAAACAGAAGGCTTTAATCATCTCGGTGGCCGACTAGTACATAACAACTTGATAACTGAGAACAGCACTCATATACGACATTTAAGTAGTATCGCACGTCCAATTAGCATCCAGAAGATCATTATGAACAACCAATCTTCAAGCTCTACATCGCCTGGCAGTCCTCGTGAGTTAGCCATTTCAGTCTAACTATCGAATCACACGACGTGCTATCATCTCTAGCGAGGCCACGAAATGCCGATGTACCTGAAGCTGAAGGAGCCCAGTTCAAGTCATCCAACCTCCCAGGTAATGCCAAATTATCGGAAGAGCTAGGTATGTAGCGCTGCTTACTATTAGCACGATGTAATCATCCTTTGGCAGATACCTATGATGGGGCACACAGATCTCAATTCTACGAATTAGGCCAGGTTGGTTGCTATTCGATACGCTGCGCTAAGGACACGATTGATGCAGCTTCCTTCTTAGAAATTATTGGAGGAGAGTATGGGTCGAGATCGGCCTCTGATATCTCCACCGACGACGATACATGAGCTCCGGGCAGAGTACACTGGCGCCCCATCGTTTGTGGCGCAGATCGACAGCTTGCTGAATCGAGGTTATACAAAGATTATCCGTACCAAAGGTAGTATATCAATGAAGCCAGGTACTCGCACAACCTGATGCGAACCTTTAAACTAGGTGATGGAAACTGCTTTTACCGAGGTAAAGTTTAATGTAAACTTCCGTCTTTTGCAAACTCAAGATTTCATATTATAAGCTCTTGGATACGCATACCTTAGCAGCCTTGTTGATTCGCCAAATCTCGTCTATTCTGCAAAATCCGTGATAGAATCAGGCTCAAGAATGATGGAACGTAATTTCATGGACGCGGATATCATTTCGACTTTCTGCGAACCCCTTATGGATCTAGTAGATGCCATTGGAGATCCTGACCCTAATAAAGTGTTGACGCATAAAGGTCTATTGTCTGCCTTTCTTGAAGACGAAAGTGAGTTTCTCGTGTACGACCAACCTCCTTGTAGCTGACAAGCTCCAGCGTCAAACTGTATTGTCACGTACTTGCGACTTTTAACTACCGCTCAAATCCAATCCGCGAGCGATGACTATGCTGGCTTTCTCTTCGACGATTCAGGAGAACAATTGGAACCTACTGAATTTTGTCGGCAATATGTCGATCCTCTTGGGAAAGAAGCAGGTCACTATACTGAGTTGTAGTCACATCGATCTATTCAAGTCGTTGATGTCATTCAATAGATCATGTTCAAGTGGCGGCCTTGTGTCGGGCTCTAAAACTGCACATCAGGATTGCATATCTTGATGGTCACTCTCCGGATGGCCAAGCCCACTTCCAAGATATCACACCGCCAGACGGCGGAAATAACAAACCGTTGATTCTCATCTATCGGTATGTTGACGATAAGTTTTTGGTTATTACAAGCTGATATTTGATAGCCCTGGCCACTACGATGTTTTGATAAAGACGAACTAATTCGGTGCAGTATGAGCCCACTGGTGCAAATATTCCCTGTTCATCGGTGTGGCATGGCCGCATCTCCAACCCACCAGGAATCTGACATACCTACTTATATATATCCTATGCGTATCCAAGTGATTCCTGACTCAGTGCCCGGGTCTATGTCACGCGTAGTCAAAATTGTGAATCTAAGCACGAATAGCTGCCGGCTCGGTGTCAATTGTGTCCATCCCGTCATGCTGTGCAGCACTTTTCATCCTTTCTTCCACCACTATGCACGACCAGCTGTACTTTTCACGGATTGGTTGGCATTCAAAATGCTTCTAGATATCAATACGACAATAAAAATTACTGGAAATACGACAGCTACATTGCTCTCCCTGACAGTGACTTAGCGGTCGCCGTTTTTACTCTTGGAGTTAATACAGGCCGTACAGCATAAAACCCAACGACCGCAGGTCATCGCTTGTATGTTCTAATTATAAGCTTTGTATCGTTTAGCGGCTTTCTCGCTGTGTCTATATCTCACTCATTTTCCTCATTTACTCTTTGCTGAGCCTCGCTGGCGCGCTCCCCGGCTCTTGCGACTTTTCACTGGGCATCACCATAACAATCAAGTGCACGATGCATTGAATCTAGTGGGTGGTGAGATATACTATTTGCTCTACTTCGGCTCACTATGTCATTCTCTGGTGCTATACCGCAGAATGGCCCTTGTTTCGTATGAGTAATTGGAGGGCTGTTACACATCAGACAGTCAGACTCAGCCAGCGAGGCTGAACAGAGCGTGTTTCCCGTTTCACCCAACATCACGCTTGAAGCTTGAGCTGTGTTGCATCGATGACTACACGATTTCACAAGGAACTCCTCTATTTTTGCAAGCTTGCAGCACAAAATCACGTTGGAAATAAGTTGCCGGCATCACCAACGACTGGAACTTTCTTAGTGTTCAAGTGATGGCCTGCGCAATAGTACTGGTTTGCAAATCAAATTCAACTGATTATATATTCAGCACGGAAGTACCGTTATACACCACTCACATCTCCCACTCGCTCACCCCCATCTTTCAGATATGACCGTAATTTTCAATGATCCCAGTTGGTGGCCAACAATCAATTCAGATATTATTTTCAGCTATTGGACAGGTTCGTCACATCAAGATGCCTAGCTCTAACATTGACCCGCAGTTTCGCAGTTGCTGCTGGCGTCATTGTAGTATATGATTGGGATGAGCGGAATAGTGTTCGACGACTGCTGATATTCTCATGATATCTCTAGTACTAACACTGGGACAAGAGGTAAGTCGATATTATCGTCGGAGCAGTCAACTCACTGAGAACGGTGTCATAGATTGAACTGATATGGGTGAGTGGCAAATTCCCGTATCAGAAGAAAACAGGAGAACACAATAAATCCGCGACAGAGGCAACGCTGGTCTTTCATGACTGTGCTGTATCTGGTTGTTCGTACCTTATGTTATACTATTAGCGTAGGTTGACGGGTCATACTAACTCTGATATGTTTTAGGTACGTTATATTGGAATACCATATGCTGTGTATGTGTCGAGATCCACAACTTATCACTGTGCTAATCGCTCATTTCTGACAATTAGTGTCAGTGTTCTGGGTATGTTTCATATGTGCTGTGTTCAATCCTTTTGACTCAGGCTGACGGCACATAGGAGATTTGCCATTGGTCTCGCTGACGGATACAGTGAGTATTATACAATCATCTCATTCCTACGCTCATATTTAGTGGTGAGCGAGATTCTGACCATTGAACTTGGCTCAACATAATATCTCAATAGGTGTAAGTCGGAGCTTTTGATACCAGCACGAGGGTGTTCACTAATTGAGTGTTTTAGGTAATGCTATGAATTACGCTCTGAATGGGACAAATGGGGTCATATATGCCATGCTGGGTGGTAAGTTACCCAGCTGCAATACCTGTGATATTGACTCGACTAAAACACAATGCAAGTCATCATGATTTCTCGCTTATATGCCATGTATCTGGGATCTAGAATGATGCTCATTTTTCTTCTCGTTATCTCTTTGGCTGTTATCATTGCTTGCATAGTCATTGGATCAATAGCAATGAAGGACACTGTAGCGGGTGAGCTCTACTTGTTGACATGAAGAACACAGCTCATTGGACAAACACCAGAGGAGCTAATGCTCTCTGGCATGCACATGTACGGCCACAAAGATGAAGGGGATAACCAACTTCTGTATTTGATATTTTGGATCATCTACACTGTTTGGGAGGTCGTCGCACTGTGTCTTTCAGTCTGGATTACCGTAAAACACTTCCGTGACCTGCGACGACTCTGCCCATCGATAGGATCGACAACCGGGGACTTTTTCAGAGTGCTGATAAGATCTCACGTGCTTTATTTTGCAAGGTGAGCCCGTAATGTAAATGTGGTTATCTTTTTCTCAAGTTTCGCACATGCTAGCTTTGTTTGCCTCTCTTGCCTCGAGCTTGCTTTTCACTCTGAGCTCATGGTGCGCCGACCTGTCTCTGACTTCTGCTTGTAACCACTGCTCAACATTTGTGTAGAATGCGCATTCTACTATGGGAGTTCAGATACTTGGTGGTGCTTCTGACATTCTACTGTTCATGCAGATGTTTGTGCTGGGACCACGCCTCATCCTTAGCGTTCGAGAATACCACGCCACACTCGTGGCCAACTTCGACGCAGAAGATAGCATGAATTCGATTGTCTTCCAGGAGCATGTACTTATATCAACTAGCAGTACTGTGTAAGGAAATGCTTAGCGAGCGGTCTGCAGGGAGGAGAAAATGGGTCGAGGATCCGTCGAGGTGTTTATTTAAAATAGTGTTTCGAAATGCCCAACAGCCAACCCAGTCCTTGAAAGCTTGACACCCAATACTACAATACAATGAGAATCGGTATAAATTGCCGAGACAGCAAATTCTACGCGTTTGCGGAGTTCCGCTATCTGAGCACACAGATGATAATGAAGTTACTGCGAAGCGTGAATCCCTGTGGCTGATAATTCATTGGCGCTCAGATGCATTTTCCTCCATCTGGGCCACGGAGAATGAAAAGGAATGAATCGCGCGGACTCCTGGATCAACGTATGCTTCTATCACGAATGAGCATGGCAAGGAGATGAGGTCTGCTGAGTGGGGACTGGAAAATTGGAGAATTGGGGTTTTGCAAGTCAGAAGACCTCAAGCATACCTATCAGACTACTAATAACCAGGATATTCAGTTAAAGCCCCTGCTAAAAGGTGGAAGAGCAACAGGGTTACACAGGAAAATGCAAGGCAAGAGAGACTTTGAGCCACGTGCCAAAGTTTTCGAGTGTTTTAAACATACAAGATGACATTGAGGGTAGTAAAGAGTATCATAGTAATGTAGATAGTCTCGGACGGCATGGAGCTTGTCACCAGGAGGGCAGTGATCTCCTTCGAGGACGCGAGCCAAACGACAGGGCACCTTTTAAACAAAACCCCTAAGGGACGAGCAAATATCACTTCAAGAAGGACAATAAGACGCGACCCAAGACGTACATTTTGTGGTATAGACGGAACGTCTCAAAATCGATTGGAGACAGTAGCTATAAAGAATTCAAAAGAGACGTCCATAGAGAGTTTCATGTGAGTCGACCTGATTTTTGTGTCGGAAACTGCTGATAACATTCTAGATACAACTAAATCAGCCACGCAACACCCTGAAGTGACAGTAACAGCTTTTATACCGCATCAGGTACTTTATTTAGCCCACATTTTCCCCAAAAGACTCCCCTTCCTACCAGGCCGGGACTTTCATAGTAGTGCTCTGATCCCCCTGCGTATTGCCGAATTCACTGGCCTCCTGGTTTCATAGACGCTGAGTGATAGACACGAGGACAGGCTGCGGCAGTGGTGGAGGATTCAGTTTCGGGGCTTCTAAATCCTGCTCAGTTCGTCAAAACACGGAGCGTCAAATGTGCGCCGGGCTGCCTTCAACTTGTGCAGGACCTGTTTGTAAAAGTGTATCTCTCCATCAAGATACTCCCTCATTATTGTGCTAAAGTTCTCCACTTTCTGGTCGTAGTGTGTCCATCTCAGCCATCGTAGTGTTCAAGACAGTTTCGCAGCGTGCGGCCATCTCATCGTTTGACTGGACAAATGCATCAAGCCATTATCTTCCACAAAAATTGTGAACGTTCCGACCGTTCCCAATTTGAGAGCATTTTTATATCGTGAAAGAGTAGATTGGTGAGTTTCAACAATTCCCTGGAACGATCACACTCAGGGCAAAGACGGTGATCGAACAATCCAAGATACCTGGTATGAATGAGCAACACCCTTGAAGGCGCCGCGAGTTGCAAGCTGGGTACACCGGGCCTTCGTCTGTGGTTAGTACAAGTCTTGCATGAGGAACATGACACAGACATGATCTTCATACAGGTCTGCAACAATCTGCAGACCATCTGATGTTTTCTGCATCGCTTTGTGAGCTTCAGATAACCTTCGAGTCATGTCTCAGTTAGTCATGAACTCAGGAATCCACGTGAGCACCTTGACAGTCTTCACGCCAACACCAAGCTCCTTCTTCGTTCAAGAGCCCGTTTCTCTGTTGAGGGGTGTCCCCCGGATCTTCGTTAATCCCCAGGGGAGTAGATGACAAAGGTGTCGACGTAATCAAGGACAATAATGAGTACGACAACAATCGTTCGGCTTTCGACATCTATGGAAAGCACGTCATGATGATAACTTGGCACAACTGACGCCCGTACTCACCTAGTCTCACTTCACGAATGCGACCAAAAACTCAAACTCTGCGTGCCCTTGCCCACTGCAAGGGTGTGACGGCTGAAGCAATCGATTACTTCTGTGGCATCGTCCACATCTACGTTGAATGCAGGATGAAAAACGTGTGCGAAGAATGAAGGCCCAGCATCAGGCATTGAAAGTAATTGGGGCATAAGCCGTTTCCAATCCTTTAACATGGGTTAAACAGCAAAAGTAAACCTATCATTCACGCTCACCGCATCATTGTCGCAACCAAGAAAAGACGTGACAACTTCGGCATATCGTGCAACAGGGTGCCTCACAATACACCCAATATATCTCTCGAGTTTGCCTCTACGAGCCTCGACAAAATCAGCACTGAACCGCCCAGCATACTGTTTCTCAGGGAGTGGTGGGAGTGCAATACCAGGAAGACATCTAGTTAGCGAAGTGTGTAACATGATGAAGTGAGAGAACCGCCGTTGAACTGTTATGCGGGTAGGAGAGATCGGTGGGATGTATGGATTATATGATTCATCTGTAGCCGAAGAAAACAGTGAAGTGACACTATAGATGGTATATGCTCCTGAAAGGCCCGACGTGCGCTTCGAAGGTGAGTGAACCAAGACCCGAAACTTTGGAACTTTAGATTGCGACGCAGGGCCAGCGTCTGCTTACCCCAGCCCAAGTCTACTGAGCCTAGTATTATCATGGTTGATGGAGTCTTCCGTAGAAATCCGAGCTCAGTACCCGCTATTATGTCACGCGCGCGGCGCGGCGCTCACGCGTAGTCAAATCGTTGGCGATATGTTTCATGTGTCTCAATTGCACGTCATCGCCTAGCCTGTCCCGAGGTGCCACCCGCGACTGCTATACAACCTAGCTCGACCTCAAGAGTGCATAATTGAGTGTATTTGGGTGTACGTGTGGATAGAGAAATCCCCATGATTGGCTATAGATTAAAGAAGTCTGCTGCTATTTCCCACAGTTTTGAGCTAGTCTTTCCAGTTCGCAATCATTGAATTGATCAGTCGATCACCAACATCTTTGGTTCCCTTCTTACAAGGTCGAAGAGAACATAATTCACGAACTACAAGATGTTCCAAGCACCATACCCACCTTACGATCCAACTGATACATCTGGGTGAGTTGACCCTTGCGCACGACGTGAGAAGAAGGCTGATGGGTCTAATCATCCAGATTCTCGTGAGTCTCCTTTCCCTCGCGCTCCGAGAGTTCTGTAGTTGACTGGACGTCCATCAAGATATGACACAGTAGTGAAGAGGTGGCCCATCATCTTGACAAACATCATCGATCATGTGCATCGTCTTCTCCATAACATGACTTTAGAAATTCAACAAGTCCGCGATTCCGACGTTTCCAAGGCAGAGGAACTGTCTAAGAAGATAACAGAGGGGCAAGAAATTATCTCAGAAATAAGCCGTTTGAAGTATCGAATGGCAAGGGACCACGATCTCGAGTGGGTAGAACATGACTATCGTCTTTCCTCAACGTATCTTAGATCCCTCAATATTCTGATTATATGACACAGAAACATACCTCAGGATGGGGACATTCTGGTCGCCGAATATAATGCGGAACTTGAAAGTCTGAAACAGGCATCCCGCGACACTTGGTTCAGGGCACCATGGTTGTATGCAGAGTAGGTCATATCTGCCCCATAAACTTCAAATCGCTGAATTATACGTGCAGATGCTACTTGTATGTCACCTCGAACAGGAGCTACTGCATGCTTAGACACGTATAGATATCGTTTGATCCGCACGTATTTTAACCAGAGAACATCCTGGCGCGGGTATGACCCATTTTCTACCCAAAAGGAAGAAATGTTCAAGAACAGCGGAGCAGCTATCTATCGTATGTTCGACCAGATCCCAAATTTCTCGAGTGTGACTGACATGATGTGCTTTTGCTAGAAATCGCAACCACTATGCACGAATTAGAAAGCGAGAAGGTCAAACTTCAGGGGGATTCCGATAAACTTGAAGTATTGTTTAAAGAGATGATTCAGATGTGCCTTTGGTTGGTCTATATTTTTGTTTTCGTGGCTTTTAATAGACGCTCGATCTAGGGGCAATGCAACAGCAAGTCTGCCGTGTGGCTCCTTTTCGCAGATCGTTGACATCGATATAGGATCTTTCCCTCTTGACGCACCTCTCGCCGTCGGACATAGAGCACCTGCAGACGGTCGGTAAAGAGGCTCAGGAGGCTCGGTCAGATTTCATCCTTAAGGACGACCAAGGTGCTGTTTGGAGTTACATCAAAACTCTGGCCAATCAAGGAAAGCGTTTAGATTTTGTGCTAGACAACGGTACTATTCACCACTTTTTACTGCTCTTGTGTCTGATCATTTGTTATGAACAGCTGGTTTTGAGGTTCGTTATTTATCGTTTCTGCAAGCAATATTGGTGACCTCGAAATACAGCTATTCACAGACTTCGTTTTTGCGGACTTTTTGGTCACTTACACTCCATACTTCTCTCAAGTCGTGTTCCAGTACGTTGTCGTGAGATTCTAACTTTAAAACGATCATGACCACTGACGACACTCACAAGCCCGAAATTGTTCCCATGGTTCGTTTCTGATGTCACCCCTACCGACTTTGCGAACACTATTTCGTCTCTTCTTTCTCCCACATTCTTTCCACCAAACTCCACAACTACTCCAGATTCTGTTGCCCACTTGCAGCATATGGTCACTCGATGGAAAAATTATATAGATAAGGGCATCTTCACTCTCGCCACAGATATTAGCAATGGACAGAAGATGACGGAGTTTTGGAATGGTCCGTGGCCTTACTGGAACATGAACGAACTAGCACCGGAGTTAGGGCAGTGGATGAGTGGTTCTGGCTTGGTTATTTTCAAAGTGAGTAGCACCTGTCAACTTCCAAAGACTTAGCATTCGAAATATGCATGTCTTAGGGGGACCTCAAGTGAGTAGATTTCATTACGATACTGATCTCCAGACCTGAATTCTCATGCTGCGCCGAAGCTATCGCAAGTGAGTGTGTCTTTAGGTTTTTGTAATATCCGTAACATTGTTGCGACCCGACCTCAGACTTGCAGGTGATGTTAAGTGGCCTGTGTCCACTCCGTTTCCAACCGCGATCGGTCAGTAACCCACAAATACTTTTCGTCGTTTGCTTAAGAATGATATTTGGCAGGCCCACTGGCAGGATCGTTCCCGCTTCTCAGTCTTCGTACGAATAAGGCTGACGTAGCGGTGGGCATAGATGAGAAAGTAGCGGAGAATCTTGATAACAAAGGCGAAAAGTGGAGAACAAGCGGGAAGTGAGTTACGCACAACTTTAAATCACCGACTGGACGCTGAGCGCTGAACTATGTTCTGCAGGTATGCTTTGGTGAGCTTTTTGCCAGGAAGAATTAATCAGTAGACTGGCGCAGTTTTTGTCGTTAGAATCATACGCTGGATATGTGGAACTACAGTTGTACTTAGATTAGAGCCTTAGAATTTACATTCCAACTCATAACGTGACAGATCTGAGGCTCCGGCTCTCGGCAACTTATCTTAAGCCAAAGATGTAAATGTACTCAAGCCCAACTCGAGCCTAGTACTTAACTAGTACTCTTGGAGAAGGTGTTGGATCCACGGTCCACGGATGCCTTCCGACGTTCTAAAGGCGGTGAACGTATAGAATCTTTTGATCCACTGGTCGAGCATTTGGAAGTATGTTTGCATTCCGTTCGCTGAAAGGACGGCATCTTCCCACCAGATCATTTAAATATGTCCTCGCCCCCTCTCAGCATCAGAGAACCTGTGAGAAGAAGATATCGTCATATATCGTCATACATCGTAATATATAGGAAAGGTTTTCGTCACATTGGAATATAAAGTGATATAAAGCAATATATGACTATGTAAAAGCACCATAATCAGCATAATCCCCAGCAAGAACTCACCGGTTTACTGATGCAGCGGTCAATATCGTCTTCTCCAGCGCAATTAGGGAAGACAGTCGATGCAACAACTACCTCAACAGAACTCAAAGCTACAACTGAAACGCAGGATATCAAAGCGCTGGATGATCTTCTCAAAGTCGTCAGTCAGTATCAAAACGAGTGTTTTGACGATATTGCTAATGTCGAGTTGGCGGCTTTGCAGGCGAGAAGGCCAATCCCGCTCACCACAAGTACGGATTATGTTGAAACGCGGCAAAAATCAGAGCTAATCACGATCTAGTATCATATTGAGGACACCAGTCCTGTGGTCAGAGGCACTCTTGAATGCCACCTCGGCGTCGAAGTCTTCCAATGAGGACCATCCCATAGAAGCTCCTGCACCTGAACAACCGCTTCCTCCACGGTATATGCACGATACATACGCCGAAATCCTTCTTCCGTTTGCGTCGTCTCCGGAGTTACTTGAGCGGTATACTAACGCATGGGGTGGACTTCGGACTGGCATGCTTATGGAGCACCTTGACTCACTGGCTGGATCGATATCTTACAAGCATATGTTGGGACCAGACGTGGAAACAATTGGGCGTATACGTGAAAGAGGCTTTTACATGGTCACCGCTTCTGTCGATAGGTTAGTGGACGTCAAGGTAAAGTTAAACTGCGCTTTTAAAACTTGACCCAGACTGGACGTTCTCGCCCCTCTCTCGCCTGTCAGGGATATTCGTTTGAGTGGCATGGTCATCTACACTGGGACTAGTTCGATGGAGGTGGCTGTAAAGATGGAAGCACTCGGTGCAAGCGGTGTGGAAGATACTCTGCTACTCGGTCAGTAATCACCGCTTGTCGGAGCTTTAGTTTGAGAAGCGCCGTTCCTCCAGGCCGATTCTCTATGGTATGCAGGGATGCACAAACTCGCAAAGCTCGGCCAGTAAACCCACTCATACTTGGTTCGCGCGAAGAGACTGCACTGTATTCAATAGGCGAAAGTGCGTCACGGTCTCACACATCTCGTTGGGTCCGCTGAGGACAAGTACTAGATGCAAAGAAGCGCAGGCAATCGTTAGCCCTTCGCTCTCTCTCCATGGTACCTCCCAGTTCTACTGAGGCAGAAGAATTGCACTCGGTTTACTTGCAATATGCTCAAGACAGTGGTCTATCCGATTACGAACGCGTTTGGATGGGCGAGACAAATTTGGAGAAGACCATGCTCATGTTTCCTCAAGAGCGCAAGTTAGTTGTCATTTCGCTTTGTCTTTATGCAGCCTTGATAACATGTTTGAAGTGTCCACCAGAAGGTCTTCGGAGGTGACTATTTTGAGTCTGCCTTGTACAAAACTAATGATCTCACAAAGGATATCTCATGCGACTTGCTTATGAGGTGTGTCGACTACTGATGCTGCTAGTCACGTCGTTGATATAGTGCTCTCAGCTTGGTTTTGCGAATGCATCACTCTTCACACGTTCGCACGTAACATTCATGTCACTGGACAGTATCTCTTTCGCCAAACCCGTTCCTATAGGATCTATTTTACGGTTGACCTCGCAAATTCTTCATACTACCCCTCCCGGGGAGCTCCCTGGTGTAGTGGTACATTTCAAGTCTAAATCTTCTTTCCGTTCGCTTCTAAATTCCTGTTTGTCTTTCAGCATGTCGGGGTCCAAGCTAATGTTGTCGATGTGCGGACTGGGCACGAGCAGACCACCAACGATTTCCGTTTCACTTGGTATCCGGATGATGGTGCAGCGGTCGTTAGACAAGTCGTCCCGAAGACCTATCAAGGTATGGTCAAGCTCATTTCAGATGAATTCTTGAATGATAAATTGTGGAATGGCAGAGGCGATGCTTTGGTTAGAAGGGAAACGCGCACTTGAGATGGGCAATCAAATCAGGGGAGAAAGAAACAAGAAACCGAGCACCTAGTGGCTACATTAATTGACGTTCGTAGTACTAAGAGCAGTCCTCTGGATTAACCCTGCTACAATATCAATGACGGGATATTATTTCGTGCTACTTACGGAATGAACGTCTATAAATAGCTAAATCTTGAGTCAAGGTTGAGTTATTTTCGATAGCTTTTCTTGTCTTCCGCTCTCCCTGTTCAACTCAGAAACGTGACACTCATATGATGCGATCACTATAATTTCAATGACACTAGCCAAAATTTTCTGTCATTGTCCATGCATCGTTCGAGTAATAAAATGCAATGTTGTGGAGGTATAATTAAGGTACATTGACTGTCAGAGCTCGTGCTGACGGTCTGACCTGGCGACCTCCTTGTTATCTCCGCTGAGCACTGAACTCTCATGCATAGCAGCATGACGGATGTGTCTACAGTTTTCGTCTGTGATACTCTGTGATATCGGTCTACACGGTACACCACGAGGTCTCAGTTAAGCTATTACTACAGTTTTCCCGACTTGCTTTTTCGTCTACCACGTCCCTGGGCTGTCCCTTCGGTACAACAACCCAACTACTGCTCTCAATCAACTTCAAGTTCTTCACTATGCCACTTAGATTCATTCGTATGAAAAAGCCAGGGATTGATATTGACCCTTTGCAAGCAGCAATCACTACTACGGCTTTCGCCAGGGATCTCATGGCAACCATGCAGTTTCCTCCAGCCAGTGCCGCTGTCTCAGTCTTGCTACTCATCTTGCAAACTATCCAGGTGAGTGAATACTTGAAATATACATGTTTTCGCGTGCTTCGACTTATGTTCGCCTTCATGTAGAATATTCAAGTTAACAAGTCCGCCTGTGATCGGTTGGCGCGTCGTGCTGCACAAATACTAATTGACATCGACGAACAAATACGTGGACGATACCATGAAGCTCCGGAAGCACTTCTTAGGAATTTGGAAAGGTTTGAAAGGTACACCTGGCTGTTATCTTAAAACGATTCTTGACCAATCATTTTCTCAATTCTTGACAGCACCCTGATTTCTATCCATCAGTTCATGAGAAAGTTGGCCGATTCAAAGTGGAGTGATAGGTTCCTCCGTAAGTCGTCGATTGACGACGCTCTGGTCGAGTACATGCGCATGCTTGACGAGGCAGCGCAGGCTTTTCAGGTGTGTGTGGTGTTGAATTCAGCTTTCAATTACTGAGAGCCCTTGCTATGAAGCTCGCTACTCTTATCAATATACACCTCGCCGTGAACTCACTGAGAGGAAGTACAGCTTCGAACGCAACAGCTGAAAGAGTCATCGATGCCCCACCTCCGCCTGCCTATCATGAGGTTTTGAATAAACCAGACTCGGTCATAGAGATACGAAGCCCAGGGATCGGCGATGCAGCTGAGTGTATAGTTGCTGAATCCGATCTTCCGGTGACGGCAGGAGGGGAACCCTTATCACCACCCGAAAAAAGATTTACAGATCATTATCTCCCTGCGGAACTGTTATCATTGACCCTAGAAGATGACCATGGGGTTAGCAATAAGTTCCATTGTATTTTTTTTAGCTTGCTCATGCATCGTATACTACACTAGTTTCGACGATATCACCAGTCAGAGGTTATCTTGCGCGGCCGGTCTCGATTGCAGAACGGATGGTGGGCTGGTGCAACGGAAGTCCAGGTACAAGGGCAACGAGCCTTGATCAAGAAATACGATGATGACAAGGACAATGCATATTCTGTAACGTGGTCATGTTCGCGTCTACGGAGTGTTGCTCAAATTGGGTTTTCAGAAATGGCTGCGAGACGTCAAGATGCTGCAGAATCTTTAGTATGTCACATGAAGCACTTTGATTCCACCTAGTCTCATTTTCTAGTCACCCCAATTTACCTCAGATGCTTGGGTTTTCGGATGAACGAGCCCCGACTCCTTTTATCTTGCTAGCGAATGGTATTTATCCTGTCGAGTGTTCGTGACGTGTCATCTAATACAAGAACAGTTCAGACGCAGAGCCCTCAAGCTCTGGTTCGCGAAATGCTGCGCTCATCAAGTCTAGGGACCTCGATAGAGCTCATGTTGCGTTTTGTAAGGTCTTTCTTTTGGTTAGGTGATCAGTGTTTGATACAGCGAGATACAGTATCGCGACCTTGCTGTGAATGATTCGCCACAAATATGCTGTCGTTCTTTTGTTGATAGCTATCTAGGACGCAGCAGTGTACGTCCAGAGACAACTCAGCCTGGATGAGAATAAGGTTCAGGATTTTATCGAGGTCCGTCGCCTGATTTGCCTTGCGACTCATATTTATGATCGTGCAGGCTTCCTCATTGCGAGTCGATTCTCTCAAAACTCTTGTGGTTGGTCTGCCGCCTCCTCGGGACGGCGAGTGGTATACTGCACGAAACTACGGGTTAGCGCATACACTGCTAGATGCGTGTTTGCGAGTAAGCATCGTCCTCGTATGCTTTGAGCTTCATACTAAGGAACGCGCAAGATGTTACCAAACAATGGGCGCGTCACGTACTCATATGACAGAGGGGAAGAATTTGGTATGAATTCAAGCTCATGATGAAACTCTCGCTCACATCATTACAGTGACGGAAGAGATGCAAAAGAAAATCAACCACCTCGTCACTTTGGCACGAGCCCTGCTTCCCAGCGGAAGGCAGTCTCCCGTACTCCCAACACAGTTAGAAGCACTGATTGAAGAAACGGAGTCTAAGACTCCTTCACTGACTCTGCGACAAATACGGGATCTCACTTGGAATTCTGAAGGCGCTCATGGTCATACATGGTATGAAAAGAACGTGCCGGCTGATAAATTTTCTGTCGGTGACATCGGCTACATTCCGGTCGAGGGAGACTTTGGATCCTTCGTTCTTCTCAGCAACGTCATCAAAGACGGAAAGGCTCCGCTCAGCCTATCTCAGCGGTCGCACGGCGAGCACTGGTGCTGGGAGCATATCCCGATACACAGACAACCTCTCCAAGCCTACGAGCTACCTGAAGCTCTCGCAGGGTGAGATTTTTTACCTGACAGAAATTGTGATAATGACATTGTATACAAGGTGGCCCGTCGCAGTGCCTCCGTACAGTCAGATTGATGTCGTGGTGGTGCATGAAGCCTATCTTTCTTGTGTCAAGGATGCATGGCAATATCTATTGAGGAACGGCAAGGGCCACGCGGCCGATGGTGACATTAGGCCGGAGGATTTGATCCTTGGTGAGCATTTTCTCGGTCCTGCACGATCTTACGATGTCGTTGCTCACCCATTACGACAGTGACCCATGTTGGAACCCATCAAGATTTTTATGTCAGGGATTTTCGATCAAAACCTATTATGACGCAAACACATGTAGCAAATCTCCAGTTTGCTGCGAATCAGTTCCATCACCAAGATAGGCATGGCTTTCACCAGCCACTAGGCTTCGGGTTCCAGAACCATGGCATTTCGTTCAACCAACCAACCCTTCCTGCGATAGTTTATCTATTAACCTCGTTGGATGCTAATCACGAACCATATTGGTCGCCTTCCCCAGTGTGTCTGCCAAAAGCGTCACGTCAACCTCTGGCGCGACATTTCACGACGAAGATTGGGCGGTGAGTAAGTTGCCTTGGAATATCGAAGTTAGGCTGACCTTGGCTGGTACAGGAAAACTGGGTTTTTGAACTATGTGCAACTTCACGCTGAGGACTTCGATAGCACCTGATACTCGGAACTTGAGGTCCTCTAGACAGAAGAACTTCTTCTGTTCCTGGTGCTTTCGCACACGCGCCATCGTTCAGTATTTATATATATGCATGTGTTATGATTCTTATTCATTCCTCAAAGGCTCGAAGAGCTCGAGTCAACCGTTTAACCATGATGGTCCTACTTTGACTGTGGACACTATTTTACAGTCAATCTGCTTTACGACATTCACTCTATGGGCTCTCGTGCTTGTACTTCTCTCATTTTGCGTGCAGTGTGCGTGCGATAAGATCGTCCGAGTTGTTAGTAAGTGTGGTATTGCGACAAGCACTTCAAGTGATCAGTATCTGGTTGACCATTTGTTGCCCGTCACTGAATTTACAGCATGTGTGGCTTCCGGCTACTATCGAAGCAGAAACTTTTCAGGTAACCGAATCGCACGGACTTAGAGTCTTGGACTCAGTGCTGCAGTCACTTATCGATCATCGATAACCATCAATCATCGAACGGCAGTCAGTTACATACCACGATAACGATAATCCTTTCTGAAAGTGTCATGTCAGTATTATCATACCTAATGTCTCGCCGTTTGACCTTTTTGACGACTCTTAGATAATATGTCTGAAGGAACTTGGGAAAAGCTTGCCCAGGTTGCTGTCAAGGGTGCCCAATATGACTCTCGTGAGCGTCAGCCCCATCCGAAATGTCTGGAAGGGACCAGAGTGGTCCTTCTCAACTACATCTACGAGTCATTGGACCGTCGAGGAAACAGTCAACTCATTTGGCTGCATGGCACGGCAGGTGTAGGAAAATCTGCTGTAGCATTCACTGTAGCCGAAAGAATGAGAGGTCTGAAAGTGAAAGAAGGAAGCAAGGAAAAGCGGCTTGCAGGAACATTCTTTTTTTCGCGCAAGCACACGAAGCGCCGCACAACTGGTTATTTCTTCGCGACTCTTATCTACCAGCTTGCAAGCAATTTCCCCAGCATCCGGGAGGACGTGAATAGAATCATCCTCGACAATCCTACTTTGCTAGATCACGACACATCTCTTCGCGACCAGATGGAGGCGTTATTTCTTCAACCCCTCCAGAGGCTCAAACTCAGACTGCGTGAATGCCCGCCTTTGACGTTTGTTATTGATGCCCTTGACGAATGCGCTTCTGAATCTCCCGAGGACGACACATCCGAGAGCGAGCTCACTGATCTTATCTCCTTACTTGGCGAAGCTCTTCGCGAGCCTGGTCTGCCCATAACCCACATCCTGCTCACGAGTCGTTCGGAAGAGTATATTCACAAAGCTATGCAGACAGAAGAGATACGTCCACTGGTGTGCGAGATACCAGTGAGAACTTCCGGGGAGGGAGTCGCTGCCACTATCTCGTTAGATGGTGTAGACGTTGACAATGACATATATGTTTTCTTGCAGCATTCATTCAGAGAGCTGGGCACTCGTCATCCCGATTTTCCACAGCCATCGACTGATGAACTTGCGCGGCTGGCGAGCAGAGCAGGCAGACGTTTTATTGTGGCATCCACGATGATGAAGTTTATTGATGATCGACACAACGATCCCCGCGATCGACTTCAGCTCATGCTCGAGTTAACGAGCGAACTGCTACCAGGAACAGAGGTGTACAAGTTGTACGACCGAATCCTTTCCACGTGCGCTGACCCAACACTCGCATACCTGCACTTGTCTGTTATCACTGCCCTTGCAGACCCTCTGCCGATGGCACAAATTTCAAAACTTCTTGGCCCTGGTGAGGGCAGGGACGTCGAAAGTATACTGATACAGCTACGATCTGTGATAGATGTTCCTACTGACAGCAGTCTCCCCGTGAATATCTACCACTCCTCCGTCCGTGACTATGTTTCTCACCACTCAAACTCCTCCCTCTGTCAAGTACACAACATCGCATCACCCCACTCTCTCCTCGCTCTGTCCTGTCTCCGCTTGATGGTGCACGACCTTCTAGAAAGCACGGCCCTTCTAGACGCATTCTCAGAATTGACAAAGCATAGCCAAACTATAGAATTGCACGAACCTCAGAATTTAAAATCTACATTGGACTTTATTGGCCAGCCACCTGAGCCACTGCAAGTGCTTATAGGTCTACTATGGCTTCGGGAGCATCGTAATTTAAAATTGCAATTCTGGCTGGATACCCGGGATGGGCATGCCTGGCTCCAGACCAAGGGAGGGAAGGGCTGGCTTCAAACTGAGGGAGCGGAGCGCTGGCTGCAGACCCGGGCAGGGAAGGGCTGGCTTAGGAACGAGGAATGGAAGGGCTGGCTGCAGACTGAGGGAGGGAAGGGCTGGCTGCAGACCGAGGGAGGGAAGGGCTGGCTGCAGACCGAGGGAGGGAAGGGCTGGCTTCAAACTGAGGGAGGGGAGCACTGGCTGCAGACTATGGGAGGGAAGCGCTGGCTACAAACCGAGGGAGGGAAGCGCTGGCTGCAGACTATGGGAGGGAAGCGCTGGCTACAAACCGAGGGAGGGAAGCGCTGGCTGCAGACTATGGGAGGGAAGCGCTGGCTACAAACCGAGGGAGGGGAGCGCTGGCTGCTTACAAAGGAAGGGAAGGGCTGGCTGCAGACCAACTGGCGGCTCCAAACTCCTTACTACACGGGACACCAACTACTGATCCCGGAAAAGCCTGAGCATAACTCGTACCTCCACCCCTTGAATACATCTGAGCCTGTACAGACCTTAGACGACACCTCAGACCCACCCTCACCGACCTCTTCCACTGAGGCTGGCCTGCAGATCACAGGTGGGGGAGGGCCACTGCAGACCTCGGGTACACAAGCCTGGCTGCAAGCCCTGGGCGGGCGACATTGGCTACCGTGGTTGGAGACCCAAGTCGGGAGATACTGGCTGCTGAGCCAGGGTGGGCGAGACTGGCTGCAGACTCAAGGAGGGGAGAACTGGCTGCAGACCCTAAGCGCACAAGGGTGGCTGCAGACACAGGGAGGAAAAGACTGGATACAAACTCCGGAGGGGCGAGAGTGGCTGCAGACCCAAGGCGGGCAAGAGTGGCTGAGGACTACAGATAAGCGAGAATGGCTGCAGACATCAGGAGGGAAAGACTGGTTGCAGACCCAGGTAGGGAGAGATTGGTTGCAGACCCTGGGTGGGCGTGACTGGTTGCAGACACCCCAGGGTCAGACATGGCGGTTAACGACTCTCTGGGTGACAATGGAAGAATACTCGAGCACGTTGGAAGCAACCGGAGATTACATCATTGCCCCAGATTCGCTTCTACAGCCCACTTTTCAAGTAATTCAGCAATTCAAGAACTTGCCGGATTTCTTGTTGTTTCCGGCCTTTTTGGCGTTAAGGCACCAGGATCATTCGACCTTTGCGTCAACATACAATCGTCCTCTACCGGACGTGGAGACCATCCATGCAATGGTGGCCTTTATTGATTTCGCAAGCCAAGCATGGGAACGAAGTCGATCAACCTCCGATGCTTTGAAGTATGCATGTCAAAACTGGGCCCTCCATCTCTCTCGAGCTCCAAACCCGCGGGATGAGAGGCTTACTTGTATACTCAAGTCTTTCTGGGATCGTTATCTCCTCTCCTGGCTTGAAAGGCAGTGGTGTTTGAAGGATCTGCGCTCTTGCCTCACTATTCTACGCGAAGGGGAAAAACTTGCACAGGTATGTCACCATCCCAATGATGTTTTCTAACCTTGTAACCTGAACTGCGTGCAGGACTATCTTCAAACTCCAAGGTTGCCTCTATCATGAGTCTGAAGCACTCGATGTTACGTGACATTACTCGCTATCTTGTCGATGCTTGATTTTTTTCGTTTCACGCGTCTCGAGTGTTCATATGTACCACCCATCCGAGTCGATTACACATTTTCTCTCGTTCCAGACAAACATATGCGTTCCTTTAATCGGGCAAAATAAAGGTGTTGTTTTAGTAGCAGAATACGATTTATACTTTTTTTTTTTTTTTTTTTTTAATTCCAATTTATGTCCTATTGAGAGAAAACTCTATGGAGGACAGTACAGTCTAGTCTAAGGGCCCCTGTGCCCTGAGTGCGTCTCCGAATTCGCGAATGCCCTGACCTGGAACGTATCCAGTCAGTCCGCCGTTCCTGCCGGCCGTTTTAGACGCGCAATTCTTTAGATGGTGAGGCGGCTTGAGACTCCATTCTTCTAGCATAAATGTAACTATCATTAAACAAAATAGACGCATACTCGGCCCATGAAGGGCATGTACAGGAATCGTTCTGAAGGCAGTGAGTGTGGTAAGGGAGAAGGTCCTGAGATTGACTGGGAGGTTCTTCCGGCTCGCTGGCTGAGTCCAGTGGTGACGATGAAGATGATTCCATGTTAACGAGTGGATGAGAGGTGGGGGGTGATGAAGCGGGGTGGGTCGGTTCTAGTGGGCTGCATGCATGGGTTTCCTTCATGCGAGGTCATTATTATCTGTTCAAAAGAAGCGAGAGTTATCTGTCTGCAGGTATGCGAGGGAGCGGCACTTCACCGAACGTGGTCTTCATCCTTCCAGTGGCGTTAACGTAGCGGACTAAGTGAGGCGTGGCGACCGGATCAGATAGTAAGAATGGCATGGACGTGGCTCTGCGACCAAGTGCGCATATCATGAGGTGTCTCTCACGCTGATATTGCGGGCATGTTGTTAGGAAGTGGAACACAGATTCTTCTACATCTCTGCAATGTGGACAGCATGGGCGCTCAGCTTTGCCTATTCGGTGGAGATGTTTGTTGAGGGGTGCATGGCCGGTGCGAAGAGCCATGTAAAGACCCGTGAGCCTCTTGGGGAAGTCCGCTGTGAGCTTTACAAAGGAGCGACGAAGGAGCTTGGGATCAAGTTGGTTCATGCGGTTGTATCTAGGAGATTTGCGCCAAAGGCGCTCCCAACGGCTGTGGGTCTCCCTGCGATGTACTTCCTTAAGTGCTGAAATACTGAGCGGTAAGGTGTCATGACGAAGGAACTTAGGCAACTTAGCAGGAGGGCTATTGTTCCGTCTACTCTCGGCCGCCAACTTCGCCTGTTTGTCCGCCTCCTCGTTCCCATGAACTCCCGAGTGACCCGGGACCCAGCGCACCATTACGGCAAAGTTATTGCATCTCTTGGCAATGTTCAACATCATCCTACGGAAGCGATCGGCGAGATAGGATCCCGGGCGGGAGTAAAAGCTCTCGCCGGCTTGAATCGACGCTTGGTTGTCAACGGAGATGGAGATGGGGTATGTGACATCCTGTTCTGTAGATATTAGTCGCGCTGCCAATGAAAGACCTACCTCTTCAGCTTCGAACACTGTGTGTTCTTTTTCCGTCCCTAAGTGATAATGTAACGTTCGTGGGGGTTTCCCAGCACAAAAGAGAGTTGCTGCGGCTCCAATTTTCCCTTTGTATCCTGACCCGTCACTGTAGACTTGAATGGGGTCGTCGAGCTGTTCATGTTCCGTTATGGCTTCTTCTTTGGTTCTGGCTATATGGGTGGTCCAAGGATTTGTGGAGGTTGGGGAGCGTCATGAGGGGATGAGGGTTTCAATGGCGTTGGGGGCGATGTCAAAGCGGTGTGTGAGCTTGTGGAGGGAGGACCAGTGCGAGCCCACGTAAGTCTTTGCAGCTCTACGCAGCGGTTCATAGAGGGGGTGGGTTTTCGGATGGGTAGCAAGACGGATGGTGGCTCTGTAGCAAGAGTTCTGGAGGAGAAGGGAGGGAGGTAAGAGGTTAGCGTGGATTTCGAGCAGATCCGTCGCAGTCGTTCTCATTGCTCCGGTAATAGCAATAGCCGCTATACGTTGAACTATGGATATCTTCTTGGCGACTCCAATTGATCCTCGTTGGGGTCTGTCCGTTCCTTCTCGATATACCAGTGAGAACCACAAGTCAGCTGCATAGAGCATCTTTGGTACCGCTACTGCCTGATATAATTGACGCATCAGTCGCAGAGGAATGCCCTTTGCAGCAGATGAGAGTCTACATAGCTGGAAGACGTATGCGGTCCCCCACGCCACCGCGTTGTCGACCTGCGCCTTCCAACGCAATTCTTGGTCCAGGATCACCCCAAGGAAGCGATGGGTGGGTGTCGGTTGGATGATAGACCCTTGAAGGGTCATGGCAGGATGCTCCTTCCGCTTATTCATGGAAAAATCCATTAAGGCGAACTTGTTGGTTTCGAAGCGGGAGTTGTGGACCCGTGACCATTCATATCCTCCTCCTGGGCGTTCTAGCATGTCGGCCAGGATGCGGTGAGTTTCGTCGAAGGTCTTCGCCACGGCGATGAAAGCAGTATCATCTACAAATGCTAAGGTCAGTTCTTTGATCGATTCCCTACCTCTGCGTGGTTTGGCCACGTCCACCAAGCCTGAGCTGTATATAATATATAAGATCATCGACAAGGGATCCCCTTGTCCGATGCCGTTCTTGATGGGGAACCAATCCGATACGAATCCGTCGAATTTGAGCTGCGTAAGTCGATCAGTTAGTACTTGCTCCGTTAGATAGATGAGGTCGCCCGGGATACGACGCATGCGCATGTTATGGAGGAGTTGTGCCGTAACTGCGTTGGGGAAGGCCCCTTCGATATCTAGGAACAGGACCGATGCAACGTTATGAGACCTCCACGCGTTCTTCACAGTGTCCTCCAAGAGGTGGAGTGAGTCCGTTGTGGACCTGCCTGGTGTAGAAACAACAATACAGAGAGGAACAATGAATGCTCCAAACTGTATCTAAAAATGTTGTAGGTCGTGTGTTGCCTAGTCTGCGATACTTGAGATGGCAAGTGCGTTCGACCCTATAGGGGAAGCAAGTGCAGCGAAGATCTACAGGTACGCGCTGAAGCGAAGCGCGAGAAAGCGCAGGTGCGCGCAAGGCGCGGGAACACGCGCGCGTATTAGCGCGAAGCACGGGAAAGCGCGCGTGCGTATGCAGAAACAACAGAGAGGTTAGACTTAAGTGATGATATGATACTAGATAAGAGAAGAGAGATGCGAGGTGTAAACAGATAGAGTTCTACTATGTTCTGCTAAGTAGTAAGTAAGTGGTAATAAGTAAATGGGAGGTAAAGTAAGGTAAAGTGTAGTATGTACTGCTGGTGCTTATATAGCGCGCCTAAGCGCGGTCATGCGGAGCCGAAGCGCTACCGAGTAGGTATGTAAAAATATATATGAGTGAGAAACTATGATAAAAATAAAGGTGGAACTATGCTAATAAAGGAAATGGAAATATACGTACTAGGGAGCTTGGTGGACAGTGGATGGATGCATCTGAATGGCTGGCGCTATAGGGCTTCCCCCGCGCGCGCGCGCATGGCGCGCGTTGCGCAGGAAAGCTGCGCCTCATATAGAGATAGCTGCGGGTAGCGCACAGAGTGGTGCTGCGAGTTGGTGCTGTATACTCCCTTAGTGGAAACTGCCATATCACGCCATGAGAGGCATGAGTCTCTACATCTCCCAGGGACTTTAAATTCTGAGTGTCCCCACTCAGCGCGCATGTGGTGAGGATGTCGAGTGATAGTATGCGCGTGCGATGCATGTACAATGCTTGGGTTGTTGGGCGATGAATGCGCGAGTGCAGGAATTATTGCGTGAGGTGCAAAGCGCGGGAAGGCACAGGTGCGCGTAAGGTGCGAAGGCATGGGAAGTTGCGCGCATGGCGCGCGAGAGGCACGAGAATGTGCGCGTGCATATGCACTGAAGGCGCAGGAATGAAGCGTAGCATGGTGGATTGTGAGGGTGACTTCTGGTGTGAATAGTGTTCCATGGGTGTGAGGTGATGATGCAAGGGTGATATGGATGTGGTGCACGAAGCGTGAGCGAGACGCGCATGTACAGCGTGAAGCGCGGGAAAGCGCACGCGCACAAGGCACGAGAAAGCGCATGAGTGTCGCGTGTTTTGTATTGTGCGTATGATACGAAGTGGTGTGGTCCAAGAGCGATCCAATCCATGTCCAGACCAAGTCCTGCTAGGCACGCTAAATATTAGGTGGTAAGGTTTGAACAGTGTGAGTAAAACTATATGTGAAAATGCGAAGGAAAAAATGGTAAACTTTGCGGATGTCCTATCCGACTTGTCTTCTTCGTGCGGCTGTCAACATCTACACCTTCTTATGAGCGAGGCGCGAGAAGTGCGCATGTGCGCGCGCGCGCGCAAGGCGTATGGGCGCGGGAGGTTTGCGCATATGTGCGCATGAGCGTGGGAAGACTGCGCGCATATGTGCGCGTTCTAAGGTAAAAAGGGCATGGTGCTGCGTCATGCGTGCGAAGAGAAAATAATACTATTGAGCTAGGCGGGCACAATCTAAGGTTGTTTTCTTGTTTTTGGCGACTCCTATGTGTATATATATCAGTAAGTTATTAGTTCTTTGGATGGCGTTATGATGAGAGAAAATAAAATGAAAGAGCGCTGGACGAAACCCAGGGTAAAACGAATGGTATCCTATGAAACAGTGATGGTATACATTGTTCTTTGATGCGCAGCTGAGGCGCTTGATCCTCCTCCTTGAGCGCGTGTGAGTGCGCGTAATAGCGCACTTCGCGTCTCTTGCGAGCTAACGCGTTACCCAAGGTAGGGTTGGAATGTGTGAGGCTGGCGCGCTTGGGTGGGCTTGTGACTGGCAGAATGAATTCCTGCACAACGCGCTGCAGGTTGAAGGCGCGCCAATGGAAGGCGCTGCAAGGGGTGTAGGGGCGCCCTACAAGCTGATAGGATGTGTGCGATGTGCGCGCCTTGAAGCGATTTCGCGCGAATTTGATTATATTGGCCAAACACGCGAGGAACGGCCATTTCTCTGCAAATGGATTAGCAA